CCACAGGTTGCACGCTTTCCACAACTGCGACTCATGTGCCCAGCACATAAACAGCCAAAGCAAAACTCTTTCTCCTTTAGAAATGTTATTTTATCCCGGTGCTTCTTCCCTTTGAACTGTTGACATTCCTCCAAAGAGTGACTTTGCGAACAACACACACAACTTGATCTAATAGTAGAACCATTTTCTGGCAAGACAGTCTTTCTCTCTCCAAAGTCCCTTGCTGAATGTACAGGGGCAATAGTGGTGGCAAAACTGTTTCCTTTAAATCTTGTGCCTGGCTGCGACTTCAGCCCAACGACCTTAGCACCACCTGTTCCTGGTGCTGAGTCCCGAATATCGCCAAATAAAGGGTCTGACAGAATATGGACATGTTTCTCAATGAAAGCCACCAAATCTTTGAACAGAGCTCTGCGGTCAGATGTTATGTGCCGCTGACATCCATTGCTCCCTCAGCTTGAATGGGAGCTTAGACATGACTGTTCTCATGTTGCGTGTCATGTCTAACTCCTGCATATGTTGTATGTTCTCCATGACATTACAGCATGAGCGCAGAAAAAGTGAATAGGCCTGCAGTGCATTGACATCTTCTGCCCTTATAGGCGGCCACGCAAAAACCCTTTCCATATATGCAGAGGCAACCTTATACTCGTTGCCAAAGTGTTGTTTAAGCAGCTCCTTTGCTTTGACATAACCTAGATCAGCTGCCATGTGCTGGCAGCTTCGTACCAGCTCCCGTGGCTGTCCTCTCGTGAATTGTTCCAGATAATATAAACAATCACTTTGACCAACCTTATCCTCCACTACCTGCTCAAATGCTCGCATAAATGAAATATATTGAAGAGGATCCCCATCAAATAAGGGAATCTCTCTTGCAGGCAATAACATGAAGCGCTGCTGTTGGACCAATGCAGTAGTTATTTCGTTTTGCCTTTCCATTATGGAACAGATGTTCCCCCGCTGCTGTTCCTCTACTGGCTGAGCATTGAATGAGTGGGATCCCAAACTTTGTGGTAGTACAATATGATGACCGTCCTTTTGAGAACCAATCCTTTGGTTTAGCCCAGCCTGGCTTTGTTGACTAGACTGCTGTGTTAGCCTAGCTGTAGGTTGTGGATTGCCAATTGGCAATGCCCAATCCTGGCCCTGCTGTGCTTGGTGGTGGTTTACAGGCCTGTATTCCTTTGCCATAGGATTGAGCGCAGTAACATTTGCTGTTCTTTTGCTTTTACTCATGTAAGAACTCATTCCATTAGATGTAGTGCTGATGTCAGAGGCAGAGGCCATCACTTCCAGTTTGGCATTGGAGGCAGCTAGCATAGCTTCCAGCTCAAGTTGCTCTCTTCTCCTTTTTAGTTGTTGCTCCTGTTCCTCCAATGCATGCCGTTCCTTTAAAGATGCAGCCTGAGCAAGCAGTGCAGCTCTTTCTGCCTTTTCCTTTATACTTGCAGAGTCAGTAGATTTTCCACTACGAGAACTCCTCCTGCTTGATTGCTTGCTAGGAACATTTGAGATACTGTCCTCTGGCCTGATATCATCATTATTCTGCTCATGCCTTTTACCTTTTTGAGAACCTTTTTCATCCCCACATTCATTACCTTTGTTACCTTTTTTTAATTGAATAGCATTTAACCAGCGGTTTACCTCAGACAGCATTTCATCATTGCAAATCTTTTTTGCTTTGAACCAAATATCATGTTTTTCCCTTTCACCCTCAGGTAATATGACCAGCAAGGAATCATGAACACATTTTGCATCATCACACAAATCAACAAGAGCACTCATTGTACATTGTACACCTTCTTTATCACTTATTTGCATAAGCTCTTTGATTTTTTTCCCTTAGCTTAGAAGCCTTATTTAATTTAGCCTTCCTATCATTTTGCAGTCTTTCCAGGCAACATGACATCATGACTTTTGCGTAAACATACACACCACTTTCGAGTCAAGTGGCGTGTTATCTCTACGCATTTTGAGCTATCCGCGTGTTTGCGTGCATGTCTACGCCATTAACGTCCGCGTCATTCAGCGTGTCTGTACACGACGTCAAATCTCCTGTAATAAATGCCATTAACCCCAGTGACGGTTAAGTTTAGGGATAGGGTTGAGGTAAGTCATATCTTTTTCTTTCCTAGGATGGTAAGGGAACAGTCATAAATGCCATTAACCCCAGTGACGGTTAGGTTTAGGGACGGGGTTGAGGTAAGTCATATATTTATATAACGTTAAGTCAACAGCGTTCATAAACACGCTGAAAAGCAATTATGCGTCTTGATAGCACGCCAAAAATGGAAATATAAATCAGCTTTTGTTCAAATGCCTTTGCAGTTAATGTTACAACACGTTTTTCTTTTTCCTTTAACACACCCGAACCATCTGCTCTACTGTTACATTCAGCTGATTGCGGAACCGCCTCAGCAGCTGACGCGTCTTTTTCAAGTAAACTCATAGTGCACTTGAACGTCACCACAATAATAATCAATTGTCAATGTAATTTGTTTTCACTACAAAGTTACTGTTCAGTTCTTTCTTCACCAATGCATTGGATTTTTTACGCCCGGGTATGATAGTGTGCACCAGTGATGCGCGGGTCAATGTATAAACAAACCGCAACCGACCGACGTTTTCAACTACCCGCCCGCAACTCGGACCGCAAAAAAAAGTAAAAAAAAACATTGTACCCGACCCGCTTCCTGACCGCATTTTTTAAAAGTAGTAAATGCTCATCGGAGCGTTATTGGGCCATAGACGTGTAACAACACAGCATCGCAAGAAGACGTAGGCCTGGCCTACACATAAAGGCAAAGCCAGCACTTTGGTCATCATATTTCATTATTTCAGCAAATGTCTCCCACACTTTTACTCTTTCTATTTGTGTATTTGCGGAGCTTCCACTCCCCAGTCTTCACCTTTTCTCTTGCCGCCTCCATCTCTCTGCAGACTAGTGATCATAGACATGGCCGGTTCGTGAACGAATCGTTCTTTTGAACCGGTTCTTTTTAGTGAACCGGTCGAACCTACACTAAATCGAACTGAATCGTTCGAAACAGTTCGCGTCTTGCGTCAATGCTGATCCACAAGTTAGTTACTTACTTTCAGACATGCCTGACAGTCGCCTCCGAATCAAAATAAATCAATATCCTGAATTATATTTTACTTCAGTAACTCCAACAGTTCACTGAACCGAGACATGTTGGTGCCACTGTTGAGAGAAGTGCACGAGCACGAGCAGCTGATACTGCGTACTACCGAACGCACAGGGACAGTGGTTCTCGAATCACTAGTATAGAACCGAGAACTGTTTAGACTGAGCTTGTGTGTTATCTTCGTGCCAGTTATTCAGCCAATAATGTGTAGGGCTGTATATTTCATCAAAAATTGTGTCTAGTACTAATACAAATGTTTGGCATCTTTTTCAAACGACCCGACCGACCGCGACCCGAATATCATTAAAAACATTTTTGGATGACCCGTAACTGCGGGTAACCGCGGGTGACCGCAGGCACCCGCTCATTTCGGATCAATCCGCGCATCACTGGTGTGCACACAACTCATGAATGGCCATTCAATTACTTTGTAGCGCTACAACATACCTTACGTGATGAAGAACCGTTTCACGATGTCCTCACATTGGTGAATGATGAAAGAAGTGTATCGTTGTCCTCAAACAGATTGGTTCCGTGCTGGCTGAGCACCGCCGCGTCATATCACCGATGCTGGGCTGAGCGGGTGATCTCCCCGCGCTGACTCCGTTTCAGCCTGTCCTCTCGCCGGGTTCCGATGTGTAACACAGCCGGGTAGATACACGATGAGTAGCTTTCAGATGTCCCCTTTCCAGCGTCCACTCCGCATGTCTTTAACGGTGGACATCTAACTCCACACGCGACGATCTTCCCGCTTCATAAAAGGTAGTTTTTGACTTTATGTAACCGCTAAGCTTAAAACAGCCGAGGGTTATGCAGAGGGTTGAAATGGGTTATAGTTGGTCGATTTGGCTTGATTGAATAATGCAACAAAAGCTTAAAGTTCGGGTTTCTTCTCTGTTGTGAGAGATTTTATTGGATTTACACAGGGATTTCCTTTTCCATAACGGAACAGTATTCCATCTTCACCAACACTTTCACATTACAAACATTCAACCACAGCCTCGGTGGCGGTCAAAAACTAGTTTGCCCTTTTCCCTCTGGCAACACCTGTGCTTGATTACAGCTAACTCTAAGTAGATAAGCCCCAATTGATGTGCCATAACCCTAGTGCCACCTAATGGCCAAACCTGGACATAAACATTAAAATGGCTCCTACAGTAAGTATTTGTCAAAGCCCTTTGTTATTTTTTAATTTTGACATTTTTAAAAACTTACATTTTTACACCAGTCTACTTGATCTGTAATAATCGGTCTCAGCCCTGAAAATCACATATCGGTTGACCCCTAATTGTCAATGCTAGCAATTACGGTTGCTCCCCTTTAGACATCGATAAGCAGCATTTCACCTGTCAACTAACTCTCTTTAGAGTATTAGTAGGGTATAGTAGACTGGAATGGGTTAGAGTTAGTAGAATAAGTTAACGTACTTCCAAAGTTACTTATAGTCAGCACAGCAGAAAGTCTGTTGGGAGCGTGTAATTAAAGTGTTAGCAGATATTAGGCAGACAGTCTATATAATACTCTAAAGTGAGTTAGTTGACATGTACTGTAGGTGCAACATTACTTAGTTAACGGAATGTCTAACGGGGACTATCAAAATGAAGGGTTACCGTAAATACTAGCTATAGCTTTTATACAGGGAATAGTTTTTTTTAATATAGGCTATAAAAATAGCAATGCAAAATGTTTTTCATAAACAATACTATTCTTTAACCCCTGTAATAACGGCATTATAATATCAGTTAACCTGGAGTGTTTTCTCAATGTTTAAATAAAAATGAAACTATAAGCTAAAAATAAATTTTTAGAGCTTTTTTGTAACAAGATCCTGACACAGGTTATTTTTTTTTTTAGAATAGCCCAAGTGTCCTGTTGGCATGTCGGCATCATCCTCCAGTCCAGCCCGGGCTGTCCTACACATATCCTCTGTTCTGACACCTGCTCTTGACTGTGTATTTTTCCCACTTATGGTAGTTTTTGTTAGTTTGTTTGCATATTGAATCAAATAAAATCCACCATTTTCTCTGCTTTCCATCTCTTTTTTTATTTTTTTTTTTCTTGTTCTTCCTCCTATTACCTTTGAGGTCAATTACTCACTCAGGCAAGCTTGATAAAAAATATATATATATATATATATATTTGTTTATTTTATTATTCAAATGTATTTACGAAAATATATTCATATAAATCTGATTTATTTTTGACTGGTGTGTGTGTGTGTATTTGTTTTCCGAATAAAATGGAACTGTTGAAGCAAGTTAGTCTCCGGAACATTATTGGTTGCTATGGTTCTGAATGGAAAACTCTCAGTGGTGCCATAATAATGGCTAAACAACTTTCTTTAATGTGCTATTTGAAAAAAAAAAAAGCAAGAGTTGAGAAAGAACACACGCAACTGCCTTCCTCTACAGAGTCCACCCAGCCCAGTTCTTCAGACTCATTAACCCACAAGAAGGCTAGAAAGGTGCTGGTGGCGGCCGCTTCTTGCTCCCTCTCTCCCGGCCAGCCTGACTCAGGTTTACCCGCCGATCTAACTGCGATATTATTATTTTAGCTTACTTTATTTTTAGGTGAACTGTCTTTGCACTGCTGACTAGCCTGAATAAAATAGACAGGTTATTGTCTATACTGGTTTGTCCAGCCTTTATTGTGCTCTGTTGGTTGAACATGATGATTTGCCAAATATTGCAAAATAAAGGTGTAACTATTTTTGCAGTTTGTCTATTAGGCTAATTCTTCTACTTTATAAGGTTGAAAAACTATAGGCCCACTCATTTCTCTACGGCCCGCCCAAAATATTATTTCTGTAATGTATCATGTCTGTAAATACATGATATATTTCTGAATTTAATGGATACAACTCCCCAAATATAAAATTAACCTGCTGATATTTTGTCCATATTTGTCCTGTCCACATTTTGTAGCAGCGATTTTCCTTAGGGTCAATTTAGCTGTATAAAGCAGAAGAAATATTAAAATTTTACACACATTTGTTTTGGCTATTTTATTGAGGTCACTATAACATGTTATATAATTTTTATAATGTATAATATAATTTTACATATCCAATATTATATAAAAAAAAACGTCCCTCTGTTTTGGGGCTCTAACCTAACATCACCATATCTGTAGTCCTATTGCGAGAACCACTAGTTCACATGACATGGGACATGATTATGTCCTTTACGATTTTTTCAAGGCATTTCATTATACAGGGAAGTCAGTGCAATTGGTCTAAATTCATTAAGGTCTTTAGGAGATTTTGTTTTAGGGATGGGTATTACTGTTGATGTTTTCCATATGTCCGGTATGACTCCACTGTCTACACATTTTTGAAAGATAACTGTAAAAATAAGTAAGTGTAAAAATGTGTTTAGTTAAATAAACGTTATAGACAGTGGAGTTATCTGGACTAAGGATTAAAACACCCAGATGTTCAGTTGAGCTTCACTCTTCACTTAGCCTACAGAAGATTTTTTTTTTTTTTTTGTATATTTAAAAAATATTAATACACATAGTTGAATCAGATAGACAAAGTATGATATTTGACCTACTGTAGAATAGACCTTATTCAGAGCAGCGCCATGACAGGTATGAAAGTGAGGCTGTGAGACCACCGTGTTTCCAATGGCATCCGCTGTAAAAAGCTGAATAAAGCGGCTAGATTACTTACAATTTTCCACATCTTACATTGTCGGGAGTTTTTTGTCAACTGACATTTCTTGGAAAGATATTTTTCCAGTGTTTCATGAGCAGAACAATCCGAAAACACATTAAATAACTGTACAGCCCATTGAACAGATGCATGTCTATCCCTCACAGCCTCGCTGTGACAAACACCATTTAACCATTTTCTAAAATTCCAAGGGCCATTTAAAAGAAAGAGACAATATTTTTGTTCACAAAAAAGCTTATTTATTTACACCACGTACAGGATGACTCCTGTAGTTGACTCTCCTATGGCTTGCCAATCTTCTTAGGTTTTTTTTTATCCTCATGTCAAAGTGCTCCCACTCACTGATTAAAAATAAATTTGAAAAGTAGCTAAAGTAGAATAGTGGTAGAAACAATGGTTATTAAATAATGGCAGGATATCATGGTTGAACATTTTTGGGGGTTCAAAAGATGGGTGTTTATAAAAGTTTAAGTAGCTAAAGCAAACACACACCTTAATGAGATACAAGTTAAAAAGAACTAAAGACAGAGTATAAGGCCTAAATAATTTTGAAAATTGAATAGAAATAAAGTTTCTATGGTCTGACTCGCTTATATATATATATACATAATTTTGTTGTAAAGAGAATATTACTTAATAATTTTACTTTTATGAATATTTGAAATGTACCTAATAAAATCACAAGACTTCATACAATTAACAGGTGCATTTTTTTTTTTTTTTTTTAAATGCTATATAATAACATCTTTGGTAAAATCATCAAGAAGTAATAATCTTCACACATTTTTTTGGAATGGTAAAATTAAAAAAAGATGTATTTTTTCTGGCTGATCTGAACAAAATGAGCTATTTTAATCAAATCCATACATGTTGATAAAGTATAGCTAATTACTAACACAAATATTATGAAGAACTTTTCACTGTTAATGTCCACCCCATTTAGGCTAAATGAATACGGTCAATAATTTTATTCCTTAAACTCATCTTTGATCACCAAAATGACATATTTAAACGTTGTTCTCCTGTGGAATAAAATTAGTCATGCCTCGAATGTAACTCTATCCTTGTTTCATTAAGTAGCTCATGAATATTCCAATGAGCCCCACCTCCACTCACTCATCCTCTACTAGTCGATGTATCGCATATAACACACAAAAAATAATAATAATAAATATAGCTGCAAGCAGCAATTACCGGGGCCAAGCACAATTAGACGACAAAACATGCCAACATGTGTCAGACCAACTGCAGCAAGGAGCAATTGAAGACATTTAAAGATGAATTTAGGCAAAATGGCTGAAAAATCCCATACAATTAACTAAAAATGTAATTAAATGGATTCACTTTGACCAATAGGTGGCGTAGTTACAAAATTGATGTGATGTGAGTTTGGTGACAATGAAAAAACCTTCAGACCAGTCGCATTAAAATACGCAGATTTATTCAAAAGTTATAAGCATTATTAGAAATTTTGGTAAAACTTTGACCAAAAGGTGGCGCTGTCTTGAAATCTTTTGAGTTCCTTCAGGGGATGGTGCTGATGGCACAAACTGAGTTTCGTAATGTTACACCAATGCATTCGTTAAGTATAGCATGTTATGTTCTGTTATAGCGCCACCAAGAGGCTCAGTCACACAATTTTTGTTACGTGTCCTCAGAGTGAGCCCATACATCTGTGTGCCAATTTTGGTGGAAATATCTCAATTCGTTTCAGAGACATTTATGTGAAAAAACACGTACAAAATGACTGACACGTGACTTTGATTGAGTTTTACCCATTACTATCAATATTTTTGCATTTGGGCATTAGCGTTTAGCCAGCGACCTATGTTTCCAATTTTCTGACGGTGGTTTCGTGTCGATTGTATGTCTAAAGTTCCAATAAAACATGAAAACCCAACAAACCAATGGGAATTGTGTCCTTGTTGTGTACAACATCTGTTCATAATCTGTGATAACAATATATTAAAAGAAACTATAGAGAGTGGCAAATTTGAAGCAGTGTTCAAGTTTTAAATAGTTGTACAGCTTGTTCTCATAGACAGATATGGTCTATTTATGATGAATAAAATGTATGCTTTTATTTGTCATTTAAACCATAGACAGTGATTTAAACTGATGCAAACAGGAAAAAGACTTATCCTGTCGCCCCCTCTAGTGGACAGCATGAAGTATTACGCCTTCATTGCTCAGACAACGCAAGTCAGTTTGGGAAAGTAAGTCTGACACAGTTAGAAAATATATATATTCCTGTATTGTACACTGAATCCTTTTAGCTGTGTTTTGTTTTTGTATGTCTGTTAGAGCTAGTTATGAATGTTTTACTATGTCTTCATGTTAAAGTAAAGGAGCTCAACCAAGTAATCACTGTAGCTCACACATCCCCTCTGTTGGTGAAAAAAGGATCATAACTACACGAGACACGACTGTTCTGACAACCAGCAGTCTGATATAAGTCAGGCTTTCTGCACTGTATTTTTTGGTTTTGTTTGAAGGGGCTGTAAAATGTGGACATTTCCTGGGACAGGACTCACAAAACCGGGATTTTGACCTCTGGTCTAACATCTAACACCATTATAATTTACATATTATTACACCATAGCCTATAAGCCATATATTTGTTTTATGCCTCACGTGATATATTACTTGAAACCACGTGATCGGACCCGATTTCCGATCAATTGATCGGATCGGGACATGCCTACTTTTTTTTTGCTTACAGAAACACCTAAATGAAAGTTTTCATTGGCCAAAAAGCTACAACAACAATAGTTTAATAATCAATTACATTTATTTAATAATCAACACTCAAGTGCAAATGGAATTGTAGAATTAATTTAAACATTTAAACTGCACAAGAACGGCAGTTCTATATTAACTATTTAATGATACGTTCTACTCTACTTCATTGTTGAAATGTAAACATTTAGACACGGCTGTAATAACATGTTTTAGTGGCAGATTTATTAAAACATACATTAAATGATAAAGACAACAGTTTAAGTAAAAATATAATAAATATGAAATAGTGCATATATTTATCGAAATGCTCGTCTCTATGGAATAGTGCTGTGCGATATAGCTAAAAAAAATGTATCACGTTATAATGTTTCATTTCTTTCTTTTTTTTAAAAGAGAAGTAGAAAAGTTCTTTATGTGTTAAAAAGTATGTGAAACTCTTGAACTTAAAATGTTACAAAATGTGTGCAATAAAAAAGTGTAAACGTAGAACAATGTCAAACTTTGAGGTAGATCAGCAACTGTAATAAGTAGGGGTGTAATGTTCACAAAATTCACGGATCGGTTTGATAGGACACACTGGTGTCGCGGTTCGTACGTTTTCGATACAGCAAAAAGAAAGAAATGCTAGAGGCTTTTCCTTGATTTAAAAAATTATAATTTATTAAAAGAAAAATTAATTTTAAATAAGTGAGAGTCTTGAAACTTTTAGTTTAATGAATAGGGGTAACCTTGCTGCAGCCCCTTCCAGAGGCTTATGGAGAAGGTCCTGGCGAATTCTGTTGCAAGACCCACCTGTATTGATGCAGCCTGACCTCAACCAACCTCTTCAGGAGCATACAGGTGCCAGTGATGTGGGACTGGGAGCTATTCTCACCCAGCAAACACCTGAGGGGGAAGGAGCAATAGCATATGCTTCAAGAACATTACGAGGAGCAGAACTAAATTACTCCACATCAGGAAAAGAGTGTCTGGCTGTGGTCTGGGTGGTGGAAAAATAGAAGAATTACCTTGATGGGAGGCAGTTTGATATCTACAGCGACCAATAGCCTTCAATAGTCCCAAAACCTCCTCTCAATTGACCCGGCGGACTCTTAGGTTGCAGCGGTTCATCTTGCTAGTACATCACTGGAAAGGATGTCTCAACCTGGGTCCCGATGACTCGTCACGAGTCTGTGGAAGGAGACGATGTGCACTGTTCAGTTTTTTTATGATACAGAATTACAAGTGATCTTTGTGAAATTGAAGATCAAACCAAAGAATGTCTAAAATGGGGAGAACTCCCATTATCAGTAAACTTCTGGGTCCTGAACTGGTTGCAGTTCGACATATGAGGGCGCTCACATAACGAAAATGGAGGTCTATGGAGTTATACCCCTCAAAATACACTTTTCTCTGGAAGGATATTATTTTTTGTCTAGTAATTTGAATGTTGTATTCGAAAGGAGATGCAAAGCAATTACACATTGCTGGGTGTTGGATTTTTTAGAGTCACTTTTTGTTTTAAAAAGTCTTTAAAGAGTAACTAAACACTTAACCAACTTTTTTTAGTTAATGATCTGTAAGAATGGATCTTTATTAATCCCAGTCATTGATTCGAGTAACTTTTTTGGCATTTGTTTATAAAGTGTTCTATTTCTACAATATATGGTGTAAAAACGTCTTAGTGCTGCCCTCTTCAGGTTGAACGGTGGCTACTGCAGTTGAATTTTCCTATTGGATGTTTGCGGTAGTACGTGACACAGCGGTTGTTGGTGACGTAGGCAAGTTCCATACAAAGCAATGCGTCTCAGGTGCACGCCCCCCTCCGCTGGGCTCTGCCCACCTCTGCCCACAGAGTCAGGCTCTGACCAGGGGTTTAGTTACCCTTTAAAAATGACGTCATACACGTCGTACGACCAGACAATTCTTCAGGCGCCGCCATAATGTGTAGGGCAACTTTCCCATTCCTCTCTTAGCGGGAATTGAGAAAAATGCCTGTTTCGTGCGCTGCTCGGCCGGGCTGTGCAAATCGCCACACAATTGAAAACAGGTCGCGAGGAATTAACTTTCACAAACAAGACTGAACAATTGTTTCTGGTTGTATTTGGTCATGACGCAATTATTAATAGTAACGTTCAAAGGAGAAAGTCCGTGAAATTTAAAACACTACAGTTATTGTGTCACGAAATTAAAGGGTTAGTTCACCCAAAAATGAAAATTAAGTCATTAATTACTCACCCCCATGCTGTACCAACCCAGTAAGACCTTCGTTCGTCTTCGGAACACAAATAAAGATATTTTTGATTAAATTTGAGAGCTGTATAACTACCACATTGGCTCCTAAAGGACTGGCTCTTGACGGCCCAGAAAGTCAATGAAGAAAATGTTTAAATATCCCAAGTGACTACCGTGGCTCAACTATATGTTTATCAAGCGACGCGAATACTTTTTGTGCGAAAAAACAAACAAAAATAACGAGTTTATTCGACTATTTCTTTTCTTCCTTGTAGGCCAGAACGAGACTTCCTTAGATTTCCACGACGCATGCGCGAGAATTGCGATCTGAAGTGGTGTAAGCTGATGTGAGCAGATCGCAAATCTCGCGCATGCGTCGTGGAAATCTAAGGAAGTCTCGTTCTGGCCTACAAGGAAGAAAAGAAATAGTCGAATAAACTCGTTATTTTTGTTTGTTTTTTCGCACAAAAAGTATTCGCGTCACTTGATAAACATATAGTTGAGCCACGGTAGTCACTTGGGATATTTAAACATTTTCTTCATTGACTTTCTGGGCCGTCAAGAGCCAGTCCTTTAGGAGCCAATGTGGTAGTTATACAGCTCTCAAATTTAATCAAAAATATCTTTATTTGTGTTCCGAAGACGAACGAAGGTCTTACGGGGTTGGTACAGCATGGGGGTGAGTAATTAATGACTTAATTTTCATTTTTGGGTGAACTAACCCTTTAAGTTTTAATAGATTTTCAGTCGACAATGCAGTTGTTTAAAAGTCAAATCTGTGGTTTATTTATAAAGAGTTTTTAAAAATCCTTAACAGCGGGTGGCAAGTCTTTCTGTAGAAGGTCTTCTGATCTTTCTTCATAAAATCTATATATGAAGTACTTAAACCACTTGTGGAGACAGACAACATCCAATTTGAGCCGCTTCGATGGGTGTCTTTGCAGGAGAGAGCAAAGTAATTTGCAGCATTCTGTGAAGAAAGAGAAGAGAAGTCCTATTATTACCTTAAACTCCACACTCGCTCTCTTTGATTAAGAGTCTAAGCTGAAATATCTAAATATTACTGCATTACCCACACAACCATTTATATTACTTTGTTCTACTTTATATGATTTAGAATTGCAAGTGATCTTTGCTGAAATGTAGATCTCACCTTGTGATACGCCATCTCTTGTCCAGATGTTGTCATTTAGCATATCCAAGTCTTCTGAAGTTGGGAATTCTCCACACACCAGTGTAAACATGAGGACCCCGAGTGACCACACTGTCGCTTGTTTCCCGTGATATAAGCCGAATAACTTATACTCAGGGGGGCAGTACTCTTCTGTGCCTGCAAAAAAGAGAAAAAAGTATTCATTAGCATGCAAGAAATGATTTGATGCTATTGATTCACAATGGTGGATCCCATTACATGATACTTTGTAAGACCTTGACGGTTTCTGGCCCGTCATCTAAGTTTGAGACCCACATTACAGCTCTGAGGAATAATACAAACCAGCAAAGGACGTGTATCCCCGATTGGTCAGGATTTCGCCGCATCCAAAGTCAATCAATTTGACATCCAGCGTCTCCGGGTTGATCAGGAGGTTTTCTAACTTTATGTCGCGATGCAAGACTCCACGTTGGCAGCATGTTTGAGCTGCGACTGCTGCCTGATGCATTATAACCTTTGCCACGTTCTCGTCGATGTAGTAATCGTGCCGGTCTAGATATTCGATCAGGCTCTCGCAGGGTGTAGGGAACTCTAAAACCATAATGTATTGATTTGGCTCTTCGTCCCAGTCCAGAAGCTGGATGATCTGGGGAACCCTGGGGCCTTTGTTGGCGAGAATTAGCAGACCGATCTCCAGAGGAACGGGTTCAGGATTATCCTCCTAGAAGAAAGACAATTCGTATGATCTTACTGTACATGGAGAAAAGATGTCGAACACTACTAAACTACAGACAATAGCAGTTTGTCCATTGAAAAATGAACTGAGAGAAACAGAGTACTTACAATGTTGATCCACTCAATACCCGCGGTATCAGCGAATTTCAGCGCCACCTAATCAACAAAACAAAAAATGGATTTGAGTTAGAATTATTTACAATGTGTGTGCAGTTCATATTTCAGCCATCAACCTTGAACAGACGTGTTCAGTTTCATCAATTTAAATTCTAATCATGTAGAGCATGTCTAACGATTTAAAAAGGTCAGGTGATCTAAGTAGTGAACATAAGATACACTGAGAATGCTTGAAAAGAAGAGTTATTCGAATATACGCTGATAGATAATGCAAGTAAAATAAGTGATACCTTAAGGCCATCTTTCAAGCGAGTCCCGGCGTAAACGCTTCCAAATCCTCCTTCACCGAGCTTCCTGCCGACTTCATAGCTCCAGCAACCGACGTCTGTTAAAAGAAACATAGAAGAGTTGACATGAAAACTGCTTTTTGCCTGAGTTGACATGAGTAAAGACAGATATAATATCACAACACAAGTTTGTCTGTATTGTGTTGTGTCGGAGTCATGACAGTCAACTTACAAATAATCTCATTCTCAGATACAGCGTCCCCTGTCGGTCCGACATGGGGGACATCATCTCCCCAGTCTGACGTGGCACAGTCTGGAACTGGAGGGCCATCGTCTTCCCAGTCTGACGTGGCACAGTCTGGAACTGGAGGGCCATCGTCTTCCCAGTCTGACGTGGCACAGTCTGGAATTGGAGGACCATCGTCTTCCCAGTCTGACGTGGCACAGACTGGAATTGGAGGACCATCGTCTTCCCAGTCTGACGTGGCACAGTCTGGAATTGGAGGGCCATCGTCTTCCCAGTCTGACGTGGCACAGACTGGAATTGGAGGGCCATCGTCTTCCCAGTCTGACGTGGCACAGACTGGAATTGGAGGGCCATCGTCTTCCCAGTCTGACGTGGCACAGACTGGAACTGGAGGGACATCAACACAACAGTCAGCCATTTCCAATCCTGGAGCAGATGTGGTGCTGACTGGGACCTGGGGGACGTCCACACTGCAGTCTGCCACATCTCGGACTGGAACTCGACGGACGTTGGCTCTATAGGAGGCCACATCTAGGACTGGAACTCTATCAGATGTGGCACAGGCTGTAGGTTGGACGACGTCAACAATCGAGACAGAGCTCAAAGAGTTGAGGACGTCTGCAGACCATTCTGCCAAATCTCCCACTAAGTCCTGGAAGGCGTCTTCACTCCACTCGTCATTGACTTCAGCATGACCAGGTTTCTCTGCAACGCTGAGGATTTCAGCCTCAATGGTACAGGAAACAAGATGAGAAGTTTGATCTAAAGAGGGAAATGATAAAACAAAAGATGGGTTTAATGAAATATTATAAATAAAAGTTTAACCATAACCATATTCATTACTAGACCCTAATATTGGTGCAGCTAATGTAATTAATGAAGCGAGTTTTCGGGGGCATTCACACAAGTCTAATTCGTGCATTCTGCTTCCTCAGTTGTCGGTCAGTGAGAACAGGCGAGAATGTTCGGCTCTCTGTTTAAGTGTCAAATTACAAATACTTTAAATTTCAAAACATACACCATTAAATTTAATTTACTTGTGTGCGTAAATATTAATTGGGCCATCCAGATGTTGCTTGGTAACCCTTTAGACAATCATACATGCAAATGTAGAATTCATTGATTTGCCATCTGATTAGCACATCATCTTCATTTTCAGACAATGAATTTGGCCAACTGGGCATAATTTGTAATAATTTATAATTTGTGAGCAATTTCGCATTCAATAAAATTTGAGGTAATACATTTGAATGTCTGTTTAAATACATTGACATATCTGTCATCAAAGATGTGTAGTTTCCGTTATATGTCAAGTATTTTATGTTACTGAATTCTCAAGTAAAAGTTTTTATTATTTATAAGACTTTAAAAACAGAACTTTACATATTCTACATATACCAATTACATTTTCATGTCTGGTCCTTTTACTTACCTTGACTCGAGCGGGTCTTGATGGTTTTTGCCTTCCTCCTCTTGACTTTCTCCTTTTTGTGTAAATTGTCCACGCTGTCAGAATCATGCGCACGACAATTAACACAAGAAAAGTTTGCTCCCATTTTGAAATGCTAAATAACTACACTGCAATAAATGCCGGAAAATTATCAGCAAAGTAATGAAGAGAATGTTTGAAAGTCTGTGAAAGTCAGCTTTTAATCGAACCACCAGTACTCGACTGTGACGTCACGTTCTATAGAACATTCCAGACATTCCACTGCTAATTAAAAGATAGCGATCTCGATTCAAACAAAAACACAATCTTACTTTAACGACTAAACATTTGACAAAAAAATGACCATTAAGGTAATATAGGGCTACTACAATCACAGAGCGATCGAACATTCAAATCTGCATTTGTGCTGAATAAAGCTTCAAACACTGAACTCGCGGTTAATAAAACCAAACCTTATACTTACTCGAAGTATAGGTTTAAAATTAAATCACAGACTGTAAAAAAGTTTAAATACACGTCCGTCCGGGAATAACATGAGCCAACCTAGTTCACGGTTAACTCACGAGACGGACTTCAAGAAAAAGCGCGCCGTTTTACTCCTTTATTCTTCTTCTTATATTTAATTCCGATTTACCTGGTAAATATATCGAGATGTACCTTTGGTGGTTTTGCAAGTTTTCAATCTTTTCGTTTAATAATCTTTAATCACCGTGAGTAAGAGTTTGATGCTAGTTCGCGAGCCACCTGTTGTTGGTCTAAAGTGTTTCATCGCCATCTAACGGCCTGACAGCAGAATACAGTGTTTGTAGACCTGGAGCATAGACTGGAGCCTTATACTATATGGGTTGTTCCTGATGCGTCCAATTGGGGGAGAAAGATACGCCGAAATATCATAAAACGACGCTGGAAACAAACACATTAATATTAATAACCGTCCCAACTTTTAATAATTTTTAGGTATTTGTTTATTTAAATAAACGTTATAGACAGTGGAGTTATCTGGACTAAGGATTAAAACATCCAGATGTTCAGTTGAGCTTCACTCTTCACTCAGCCTACAGAAGATTTGTTTTTGTATATTTAAAAAATATTAATAGCCTACACATAGTTGAATCAGATGGACAAAGTAATGATATTTGACCTACTGTAGAATTAATTGTTTTAAACTGTTTTTATATACAGGAAACTGACTGATATATGTTGTTGTGAATTTATATAAAGTTACATTTTAGGTATTAACCATATTTAGCCCTTTAGACATATGGCTACAGTACTGTGTAATCATATCTGCTGTACTATTCACAATTGGTCATCATACAGCTACAGAACAGTGTCCTACATAACATTTAATAAAGACAAACACCATTTAACCATTTTCTAAAATTCCAAGGGTTATTTAAAAGAAAGAGACAATATTTTTGCTCACAAAAAAAGCTTATTAATTTACACCATGTATAGGATGACTCCTGTTTTTGAATCTCCAATGACTTGCCAATCTTTTTAAGTTTTTTTTTTATCCTCATGTCAAAGTGCTGATCAAAAATAAATTTAAAAAGAAGCTAAACTTGAATAGTGGTAGAAACAATGGTTATAAAACAATGGCAGGGTGTCATGGTTTAACATTTTTGGGGGTTCAAAAGATGGGTGTTTATAAAAGTTTATAGATAGAGATTTTATATAAATAAATAAATGTAGACAAAAACATAAATACATAAATGAATGTAGAAATAAATAAAAGTGGAAATAAATAAACAAATAAATGTAGAAATAAATAAATACATAAATAAATGTGTGAAAAAATACAATGATACATAAATAAGGAAATATTCATTTATTTGTACTTTTTTACATTTCTTTATATTTTTATTTCTGTATTTATTTATGTATTTTTGCTTTTTTACATTTCTTCGTATATTTATTTATGCATTTATTTATTTTTAATTAAGTCAGCTTTGGCATTCCATAATAGTATGCTAGTATGTGCTACTGAATACAGCAATAGTCTTCTCCACAGTGAGCCTGTGCTTAATGCTTTCTCCAGTAGAGTGTGATAGAGTCCTGTTAATGTTCACTGAATAAAGAAACCCAGGATTGATGCTTCTAGAAAACTGTTTCCAGCACCAGATATATATGAAGACGATAAACTGCTTTAAAATGTTTTCTTTGCACACAGTAATAGTACAGATTAGAGTTGTGTAATTAATCCGATGCAAAGTAAACCACATGTTCTATGTAATTCTGTTGCATCAACTGACAACATGGTCAAAAAATATGGTTAAGAACAATGACGTGTGCCAATGAATGTACAGACCGAATGTACCGTGCTTTGCTTCAGTCAGTGCTGAGGTTTGTATTTGTGGCTTGTACATGACCAGCACATTTTGCATAATGGTTTACTCAGGATGTTCTCTAGTGATACATGTGGTAGCCAACACATCTGGAAAACTACAGTACTTCCTGAAACCAATTCAAACAACTCCTTGGACTTCCTCTCTTCTGATTTGATGTAACTGTATTCCAGAGACAGGTAAAAAACAGCCTTTAAAGGAAAGTTCACCCAAAAATGTTTGGGGTCTTTTTTTAAAGAAGTGTCTTATACTCACCAAGATGCCAATTATTTCATAGAAAATGCAGTAAAAATCGGAATTATTATTTCAATTTAACATAATTGTTTTCTTTGTCAATATGTGTTGTAAAATGTAATTTATACCCGTGATCAAAGCTGAATTTTCAGCATCATTACTCCAGTCTTCAGAGTCACATGATCTTTCAGAAATCACTTTAATATGATGATTTGATGCTCAAGAAACATTTCTTTATTATGATCAATGTTGAAAACAGTGATGCTGTTAAATATGTCTGTGGAAACCATGATGTGTTTTTTTTTTTTTTTTCGTCATTCATGAATAGAATATTTTTTTAAAAAATATTTGAATTTGGTATAATTTTAAATTATTTTACTGTCACTTTAGATCAATTTCATGCTTCCTTGTTCAATTCAAGTATTAATTTCATTAAAAAAAAAATGTTCCTGACATCAAACTGGAGAAATATCTTTTTTTATCCTTTCAATGGAGGTCAATGAAGGGTGAGTAAATGATTTTGATTCTTGGGTGAACTATCCCTTTAACCATATATCTATGCCTTTAACAGTGAAAGAATACAGCATGCTTTAATATGGTTTGCATACTTGCATACTAGTCTTGCATATTTTAATTTGATTTTTTTATATCATTTTTAAATGTTGAATAAGTCAGTTGAACATGAATAATTCATGGAGAGTAGGCTTGAGGATGTCTTTTCACATGATTGTTGTCCTACTCCTAGCATGACTCTATCTGTTGGCCAACGCACTGGGAATTTTACAAATAAAGTTTAAAATATCGCCTTGGTTTCACCTGCTTCTGCTGCTAATGTTTGCTGCCTTGCCATTTCCTCTACAACATGCACACATTACACCTAATCAATCAATATTCACTTTAAATTTCTACTCGTCCTCTCAGTCTCGACAGCAAACATAGTATACTGCTGTTCTTTTCCCACTAATGCATTATGTAGTCAACAAATTATTTACTTTATAGTGATATGAAAACATGTAGTGTAGTGTAGTGTACTGTATACTAGAGCCAGACCGATATTATCGGCCGATATTGGGCATTTTCCAAAATATCGGTATCGGCAGTTATAATGGCCGATTTAAAAAATAAAATAAAAACGGACGAAACACACTTCAATCATCTCTCCTTGGCCTGTTATATTGAAAATGTATGTTTTACAATTTGCAGTATGATGTTATCTATTGCTAAATTATGGCTCATCATAGACTAGCTAACCACAAAGCTAGCTAATGCCAATATCAGTGGAAGACCGCTAACGTTAACATTAATGAGCTTGGAAACCACAATGAACTTTTTCTGCCTAAATAAAGTAATGATTACTGTATTTATAACTAGCATATCTCTAGTTACAGTTCCTGCATTGTAAAATGTAAGTTATACTTGCGAGGGGTGAACATTTAGACATAGAGAAAAAGTATCAAACGTATCTTGTGCAGAAAAGTTAGCTTGTGTGTGAAATCCAACAATATTTAATGAAAAAAAAAAATCGGCCGATATATCGGATTTTAAAACCCAAAAATATTTGTATCAGTATCTGCCTTCAAAATCCTTTATCGATCGGGCTCTAATACACACCTAGGATGACTTGAGGGTGAGTAAATCATGGGAGTTAAATCAACTATCACTTTAGGATAGCTTCCTCTTATAGTAACTAATGTGTGAGTGTATTTAGCAATGATGACAGAATCAATTCATGTGTGAAAGCAGATGGAGAAAAGGGGTGGAAATGTTGCAGTTCTTGACATTTAAGCCCCAGTTAAACGTCTACTATTTGGCACTGAGGTCCACCACGAGATGCTGGTACGCCATGGTCTTTCCTTTAAAACTGGCCGCTAACAGAATATCCTTATTGTCAATAGACACCAGACTGAACCCTCGAGGCGCCAGCATGTTCAGTTCCTGAAAGGGCAGGAACCTTTGAGTGAGGTCGTCCCACAGATAGATCCGAGAGAAGGAATAGTCGCTCCCCAGCAGAAGGTACTGCCTCACCCCGACGCTGAACGGATACACGGCCATCGAGCCGCGTGACGGCAGGGTTTGGATCTCCACGAAGCGCTGGTTGTCCCAGCGCAGGATCTTCGAGTCGCCAATGAAGCGCGTGAGGCAGAGATACAGCACTTTTCGCAACCAGAAGTGCTTCACCATCTGCACATCGCCTGAGTCTGTAATCTGCGAGTGGTAGAGGAACTGGCGTTGGCTGCGGTTCCACTGATACACCACCGGGGGCTGCGAGGAGCTGGACAGGATGAGGCGAGGTTTGCCGTCCATCTCGAGGAAGTCGATGTGTGTGTCTCTGTGCCAGGCATGGAGAGACTGGTGTGAGTAAAAACCGTTACTGTTCCAGCGGTACAGGCTGGTGGAACCGGCTTTGGAGCTGTCGACTACAGCGAAATACCAGTCGCCTTCGATCTGGAAAGTCTCGATGAAGTTGGGTTTACGGACACGGGTGGTGTCGATGTCCTGGATTTTGACGAAACGCAATGGGCCTTCCTCCCATCTGAATACAACAACATAATAATCAATCATAATAATAAAAGATGATGATGATATATTTACATGCAAATATTATATAAATCTAACTTGAAATAATAAGGTGCACTCAGTAGTTTGGTGATAATTGAAAATGTTTTACACATGCATTAAGAAATAAAGTATGTCCTGATTATATCTGGTATTAAGATGTGTTTTGGGCGATCGGAACAAGTTGATGACGATAAACAGGGTCTAAGGCACTTCGGTTAGCTTGGTTCGTTTGGTCCGGACCAAAAAAAAAAAAAACAGTTCTGGTTCGCTTGGCATTCAAATTGGCATTTTTAACAACCAAACCTAAAGTCATAGGCATGTGTTCACACACAACCTGATTGGTCGGATTTAATTATGTATATTTCGCGAACTTACTGAACATCCAAAACAAAGCTGTGTTCATCTGGGCTTGTTGTATGTGCGTAGTTACATATGATGGTATTTTGACCAGCTGAGAGCTCTGAAGAGCTTATAAAATGTGTAAAGGAGTCAAAACAGCTGCAGGACACGACACACACACACACACAAACATCTGCTGTAGTTCTGATGCCTGGGCTGAACTTTGCTGGACAACATCACGACTATAACGAGAAAAAAAAAAAAAAACAGGAATGCTTGTGCATTCTGTCCTGTTTAGCGTCGCATCTTGTGACATCATGTCCTGTTTTTAGCTTTTTTACATGTCTTTGGTCCGTGTTGCGATCATATTTAATTTAAACCACACCAGAGTTCGATTGGAAGCAGATCGAGACCCATCTTTTCTGCTTGATGGGTATCAGGAATCAGATGACAGAGTTCACATTTATTCAAATGAACCGCACAACAGAGCAATCCAACAAAACACGCCAAATGTGACACCCTTAGATAGAGGAACATGCTTTTTTTTTGGGTAAGGTAATTAATGAACCGCTGTGGAATCGGTATCCAAAGTATGCGAAGAAGAGCGATGGTGACACTAGCTAAAGAACTAATGATTGCACCTTTTGTTAGTAAAAAATGAGTTCTTTAGGGTACAATCTGATCATAGAGAAAGTATATTCACACTATATTTGAGTGTCTACAATAGTGATGGGAGACATGAAGATTTTCCAAGTTCTGAATCAACCTAACCCATTACTTTTGTAACAATTGAGGCTGTCAGCACCTGCTGGTCAAAAGCTGTAAACATATACCGGTAGACACGTTTAATTGGTTGAAATTTGTCAACCGGTAGAGACGTTTTGGATTCTCTCTTTGATAGTCATTAAAGATTATCATTGGCATGCATTTTTAAGCATTGTGTATGAAAATTAAGTGATTTTAAACCACAATAAGCAGCGAAAGAGAACTAATTTTGCCATATGCGCACATGAAGCCACTGCTCATTAAGCGCATGAGAACTGAACTGAGTGCGTTTTGCAGCCTAATTGCCAGTGTTGTAGTCGAGACCACCTCACTCGAGTCCGAGTCGACACCGAGACCAGAGAGAGTCGAGTCCGAGTCAAGACCGAGTCCATAGAGAGTCGAGTCCGAGTCGAGTCCGGGACCAGAGACGGTCGAGTCCGAGTCGAGACCGAGACCAGTGAGGGTTGATTACCTAATTTACTTTTATTTACTTAGAGAAATCCTTTTTTTTTTTTTACTGAATTTACTTAGAGTTTAAAAAATATGATCAGTTTAGGATAAAAAGGCCACATAGTAGGTGGTGTTAAAAGTAATTTTATTCCAATTTGTCATGCGCAGTTGCGCACTAGAAAATCACCAATCACTGGGCGTGTCAATCAATTTAAAGAAATATTTTATCAGCATACATTAATAATCATGAAAAATATTTTTAATTGAACTCGAGTGGTCTCGGGAATAATTCCAAGTCCTAAAAAAAAAAAAATGTTCGAGTACGAGTCAATTCCGAGTCCAAATGCACACGAGTCCATGACAAGACCAAGACCATTAAAATATGGTCTCGAGACTCGAGTACTACAACACTGCTAATTGCCGCTTAAACAGTCAAATACACACATGTATGAGTCAAGATGTTGAAATGACACTTTTCAAGTGTCCTCTTAAACACAGACATTTTTGTCTTAAGTGAACGTAAACAGTTAAAAAAGAAAACGCACGTGTAACAGTATATTGGATCCATCCATTCGGTCTTAAAGTGACAGCAGCCTAATAAACCTGTTGTCGTCTAATTCATTAATGTTAATCAAACAACAAAAGAGAGAAAATCACTCACTGTTCCTGACTGAATCACTTTTGTAACTTAATAAGAATAAATGTATATTTAATTTACACAGTGTCGACCATGCAGTGTTTTTTATATTACTATATACACTTTATGTATTTATGTTTGTTCTATTGTTGTTTACTTGTCCTATTGCTTGTAATTCGTTTGTTTATTGTTATTTCATAACTGATTGTGTACTTGTCTTCAGTAGCTTGAGTTTTTTTTCTTTACTTAGTAGTTTTTTGTGAAACTGAAATTGGTGAAAATATTTATGAATTTCAATGGTATCAAACTTTGATATCATAAAAACCTTATTTAAAGCAAAAATAACTATATTGTGATATATATATATATTTTTTTTATCAAGCTTGTATATTTAAGTTCAGTAATTTCACTTAAATGGCAATGAAGATTACCTATGAATTACCATTTAAGTGAAATTACTGAATTTAAATTTACAAGCTTGATAAAAAATGATTATTCTAGAAGAGAATTTCAAATGGCACTTAGAGGGTTTTGCATCTGAACTCATATATCTATATCTTGAAATAAAAGTACTCATTTCATGAAGATATCGCCCACTGCTATGAAAATACATCGAAAAAATAATGAAAACTTGATAAAACCAATTGCAAAAGTTTTCATGAATGTGTAATCTAGTAAATGTAATCTAAAAATAATGAAACACCATTAAATATGAAGGTTCAGTAAAAACCTTTTGTTTAAAAGAAAGTTTGTATTCTTGTTTTTTTTTATCAGGCAGGGCTTGGCAACTAGAAGCAATTAAGTATAATGTTCATTTGTGAGTTATACACACACAAGTATTAAAATTCTTTACACAAGATCAGTAAAAAACCATTAGACACTCATGGATGGGTTAACCTGGGTCAAAGGCATCTAGCGGCGAAATGTTGAAACAAAGTCCGAACCACTGATTCCAAACAAAAGACACGCAAATGCTTCATGAAGAATGTGCCCATCACTACAATCGACTCAGAAATAGTGCGCATTGACATACTTGTAGATGTGTGATCCTCCAAAGAGCTGAGCCACAACCATGTAGAGAGTGTTGTTAATAACCACTGGTTTGCAGTAGACAGCAGAACGAGCTGGAAGGCACATAAAGGACATATCAAATCATTATGTTTCGATAATCTTGTCATTCTTTAAAGAAGTGTTGACTCGCATACTAAAGCACATGTGAAGGACTCTTTAATTAAGATTTTCACCTGTGCAATATTACATTTAAAGTAAATATATTTTAAATATAAACTGCAATTAAAAATATATTTTAAAACATGACATGCAATTTTCATTTACCATGAATGCTGGTCTGTACATTCAGCCGTACACTTTAACCATATTTCAAAGACAATATAAGTAATTGATAAATTGCATATAAGGCAATTTCTAGCCAGCTGAAAACCCAACCCGATCTCACGGGAATTCGTACGAATTTTACGAGGTGGCTAATTCGTAACAATTTGTACGACCTCACTCGTACGAATTAGTGCGATTTAGCTAATTCGTACATATTTTACGAATTAGCAAATTCGTATGAATTCGTACGAATGACCTACCCCTGACCCCGCCCCTAAACATAACCGTCACATGGGTTTAGACAAATCGTACAAATTTGTACGAGTGAGGTCGTATGAATTAGTACGAATTAGCCACTTTTGAATCATTCGTACGAATTCGTACGAATTGGTCGTGAGATAGGGTAGGAAAACCCCATACGCTCTGCTGAAGACGACGTGCTTTGGGCGCTTGAGAGCATTTGGTCCGTTGAGACGTTTCGTTGCTATGATACAGAATATCCACAGCACAGTTTACTTGTAACTGATTTCGCAGATAATTTGTTGCATACTAAAAATGTACTTTTCATCCATTTTATTCAGTTAGCTCTGTTGGTTGATGGTAAATGGACTGCATTTATATAGCACTTTAATAAACCTAATGGCCACCAAAGCGCTTTACATATTGCCTCACATTCACCCATTCACACACTCATTCATACACTGACGGCGGTGTCAGCCATACAAGGCGCCATCCAGCTCGTCGGGAGCAGCTGGGGTTAGGTGTCTTGCTCATGGACACCTCGACACTTGGTCAGGTGGAACCGGGGATTGAACCACCAACCTTTCGGTTTGTAGACAACCTACATGAACCACTGAGCCACTGCCGCCCCTGTCGTTTTACAGAAAGAACATTGTGTTAGTTGGTCAGTTGGTCAGTGATTGGACAGTTGGGTAAAAAGTAGGGATGTCCCGATCCGATACTCAGGATCGGTATCGGCTCCGATCCAGCCATTTTTGCGAGATCGGGTATCGATCAGACGAGGCCGATCCAAATCCGATATTGTGCGTATACTATTATGTTATTGTTAAGCCCCACAGAAGGCACAAAAACATTCTAAAGTACCATAACGTTTTCGTGCACTCTATTATAAGTGTTCTGAAGCCATTATGTGAGAGAGAAATTAATATTTAAGTCATTAAATTCAAGATCACGTAAACTTTTCCCTCTCGCGGCTGTCAGTCATTCTCCATTCAGCACTCAAACAGCGCGTCGCGTTCGGTTACAGTCAATGATGAAACTATCTTCAAGATGATTCAATGTTAATAGTATTATACTTTATCTGTAGATAAAGGTCTATGTTTACGCATAAAACAACATTATCTTGCTGGACTTTATTCCTGTAACTATCGTGTTACTTCCTACCAGGTGTCGGACGCTGTCAGTTAGATCACCTCACCAGAGTCAGAGCACTATAATTGTTCTTCACGCGCACAGTAACTGAAATTTAAAACTGTTTAAAGAAAAGGCTCAATAAACTATTGTATAGATAGATAATGTTTAATACACTGTCCATCAATATGTATTTCCTTTGTGCTTTGAACTTTTCAAAGCGGACTCGACGCGCAGCATGCATAGGGTGCATACTCGGCTGCGTGCTGCTGTAACTCCCTGTGGTTTCAAGCGCCTCATTCTGCGCTCGGAATGCGCATAAGCGCTTTGTGCCGCACTGTGTTGGAGTCATTCATATCATAATGCAGTGACGTAATTAAAGCTTATTAACATTAATAATAATTAATGTTGCTGCCTCATTAAATAGCTGTGCTATACATTTAATGTCTCAATTTTTTAGTATATAAAAAATATATAAAATAATTACTTGGCTATATATAAAATAATTATCTTTTTCATTTTTGTTATATTGTTTTTCATGAATGTATTTTACAACAATACAAAGAGCAATATGTATTATTCACTAATCTAGTTTATAACAGCATTTGTTGTCATAGATTATGATCATATATTTTGGGGATTTGTTGTTTATCTTTGTAATGAAGCTGTCTGTATTAAGTAGATTGTGTTTAACACACACAAGAGTGATAATCAGTTTAACACACAGTTATAGAAATTCTAATTGCTTTAAAAAAACTGTACTGGTATTTAAAATGTAGAATACTGCTGTTTAAATTTTAACTTTAAACCTGTTGGTAGCTAGCTGGCTTTAAGTACTGAAGTACCTGCATTTTCTTTTATATATATATATATATATATATATATAGTGTTTGGATAAAGGGTGGGTTGTGAACTATATACTGGAGGTATATTTTAAGGGGCTAATTGAGGAAATTGCTATATTTTTTATTAGTTTAAAAATAAAATAAAAATATCGGATTAATATCGGTATCGGCAAAAGCCAAAACTGTGGCATCGGTATCGGTATCGGAAGTGAAAAAGGTATGGACATCGTAAAAAGTGACAGTAATGAGCACTGCGTTTTATCCAAAGTTGAACATTTTTCAACTCTCTGCGACCTGTAAAAAACGCTGGGCACTCAGTGCTTCAGCGTGAAAAAAACGTTCTGCGTCTCGTTACGTTTATTGCGTTTAAAAAAAACGCGGCGCTCCCATTGGAAACAATTGAAAACATACGCCTGGCGCGTGGAAAAACGCTTTGGTGGACACACGGCCTAAAGATGTACTGAAGTAAACTACAATACATTTTTTATTTAAAAGTACACTACGTAGGAAATCCATTTTTGTCAAACAGCGACCCCTAGAGTTGCTGTGGAGTACTTGTACTGTTGTAAATAACGTGTGGAAATAAGGCGTGGCCCCTTTAAGAGCTGCGTGCGCCAGGTTCATTCTGTTTGATGCTCATTCTTATCCTATTTTAAGTGAAAGCCTGACCGAGTGAGACTCTTTTCCGGTTTTCTCACGCGGTCAGTTTCTTGTCCTTGACTCTTCTGAGCCTGTGGTCACGACACGTGACGGTCGTAAAGCGATACGTTCTGACATTGGCGGTATTTCAAGAGGGCAGCCCCGCTCAGAGCATTGCGCTGTATATTGGCCTGAGGAATCATTTAAAACAACTCATATGCGTCAACTCTCTTGGCCAAAAGTTACACGGTGTGCCTTTAAGTGCAATTAACATTAAGTGTCTGAAAAGATTACATTGAGCTGTCACTCTTGTGAAAATGGTTGGGAACCACTCCTTCGGAGAATATTCCCATTTTCCTTTCTTTATTTTTTTTTGCATTGGTTCTACCTATTAAAACAAATAATAAAAAAAAATAGAATAACAGCTGACGTTTGACTTACATGTGATGTTGTAATGTGTCTTGAAAAGCATGTTCACATGATCCCAAATGAACACGGTGCAGATTCCTGTGTTGGGCTGAGCGAAAACTGTGTACTGGTCATTGTTAAACTCGTATGACTCCACAGACATAGACTGGAACGAGTACACCTCATATACTGCAAAATCTGGATCAGAAGAACGTTTCATATTAGTCAGTGGATATCGCCAGGTCTGTAACCATTTTAAACATTTCCAATTTTTCTATAATTATTATAACATGCATCGTATAAAAATACTAGGGCTGTCAAACGATTAATCGCGACTTTTATTTTGGATGCGATTAATCGTTTAACAGCCCTAAAAAATACATATCAGAAATATTATGTTCAATATTTTATAAATGTATTTATACTTGTATTATAGTATGTCACAATTCAGAACAATGCAGAAACTGTTTGAAATGTCATGCCAACTACCCAGATACACTACATGGCCAAAGGAATGTGGACATTATTATTAAAATCAATGCCTTCTTCTAGATGATGGATCATGGATGCAGGAGGGTCTGGCTATCTGGCTCCAATCCGTCCTCAAAGGTGTTTGGTTCAGGTCTGGGCTTTGTGCCGACCAGCGAAGGCCATTTCTTTGTAGCCTGGATTTTGTACACAGGTTCATTTTCATGCAGGAAAATATATATATATATATATATTCTCCCCAAACTGTTGCAACGAAGTTAAAAATGAAAATTCTCAAGAATGTCACTGAGTTCTGCAGGAATGAGTCCTAAAACCTGGAAATGAGTTTGCAATTTAGCACTTCCGTCAGGGACACTATTGTTAAAGATGATTGACAATATTAGCATCTAGTTTGGATTGGTGGTCTGGTTCTGTTCTGGCAAGAACTCGATGCCCATCCATGCAACCAAGCATGAAAACACAGAGCTTCTCGGTTGCACGTCAAACACAGGCCGACGCTGGTCATGTGTGTGATGAGTGTGACGTCCAACCTAGAAGCTTTGCATTGTTTCACTATGTGAAATCTCACAGCCCACAGAGAAGGAAATGAATAGTTGAATAAAGTCGTTATTTAAAAAAAAATAATAATAATAAAATATTCTCGTCGCTTGATAAACTTAAGGTGGAGTCACTTGCCCTATTTTAACAATGTCTTTCATAACTTTTGGGCCGGCCAGTTTCGATCCCTTAGAAGCCTATGGAGGAGTGATCCAGCTCTCAGATTTAATCAAAGTACTACGTACTTGCATCGAAAAATAAGTACAATGTTCTTATTGTGTTCAGGTTGTATTGTAAAACACTTTCTGCTATTGAGATGTGATAAGGGTAAGGTTAGGCACAGGTGTGGTGGTATGGGTAGGTATAAGGTTGGGTTTAGGTGTAAGGGAAGGGGCAACAGTGTAATTACAAATGTAATTTCATAGATGAATTACAGCTGTAATTACATGCAGGTATTTTCAAAATGTAAGTATAATGTAAAAACATGTATGTACACAATAAGTCCATTGTATCAAATTATTAATTTCAATGTAAGTACTTAAAACCACTTAATATAAAGTGGGACCCAAAAATATCTTAATTTGTGTTCTGAAGATGAACGAAAGTCTTACGGGGTTGAACAACATGAGGGAAAGAGTTTTCATTTTGGGGTGAACTATCCCTTTAAGGAGTCTGGAATACGAAGGGGGTGTCCTTATACTCTTGACCATGTAGAGTAACTATATTTGACAGAATTACAGATCTCACTTACCATGTGCTAAGAGTGTGTGTGTGTGTGTCCTTACCTGCACTTATGCAGTTGAAGTCGCGTGGCGTGAGGTCGTGGATGCGTCGACCCTGGAACTCAAAAGGACTGGCGCAGTATATGGCTGGAACAGAGGTGTTGGTCTTCTCCATCCAGTCAACCAACCATTTAATCTTACAGTCACAACGAAACGAGTTCCCTCGCAGGTCTCTGCCAAGAGTGGAGAGAGGAATAAAAACACACAAGAGATACAAAAATACATGAATTTCCCATTTAAAGTACAACACTGATCTGGGAGGTATTGTTTAGCACAGGGGTTTTTTAAAGAGGGATGTGTGGAAAGTAAGAGGAAAAATATTTTACCCAAAATATTTAACAGAACATGCATGCATTTGCATTAAAGGGTACATATCATGCTTTTAAATCATTCATTTTTACATATAAATCATACATGTGTGGTCTATATGAAGCATAACTGCAATGCTTGGGTCTGAATTCCTCATTGTTAGAGCTCCACAAGCCCCTTTTCTGATGTGCGTCTGTGAGCGACCCGTTTCGAAGCGGCCCCTTTAAATAAAAAGGAGATGCGTCACACCCCGCCCGCTCTCCAGGTCGCTGAGTTCACGGTCGGTTCAACTCCCCCGTTCGGCCATTATCGTAGTTTGATTAGAGATATACGATTATATACGATAGCTTCAAAGAACATTTTTATTCACACTTTAATAAAATCTCAACAACAGAAGACTTGTCCATCAAGACATATTCGAGCCAGAGCGAGCGAGTTGATAAAGACGACGACGAACCTGCAGAACAACCTCTTCATATGAATATATTGGTATGTGAGTTAACCGTTTTGTGTTATTAGTAAAATTCGACTATTTCTCTTGTTAAAACAAGCACACTAACAAGATAAATGACTACGGTCTAATCTTACCACAAAAAAAAAGCTGTATTGACGATATGATACGTTTAGAAAAGCATCAGAAAACAACGCAGCTAAATGACCATTGATGAAACTCAAGAACAATAATACTGCAGACGTGTAACGTTACTTCAAATCAAAAACAAAGAAAAACAAAGGTACTGCTAAACCATGACCACCATGTGTTTTAAGAAAGTAAAGTACTTGATTTTTATTAACGATATTTACAGCTTATCGAAACGCTCTGTTCGACGTCTCCAAAGATAGAAGGAATTTACCCCTCATTCAGACGAAGTCAATCGGCAAACCCTTCTGTATACTGGCGGAGGTTGTTGAAGTGGGAATCCTTGAAGGGCTTCAGGTCACTAACGTACATCCAACAACCGAACATTTTGACTTGCCCTCTCGTAACTTCTGCATCATTGAGCTCGGACTACATAATCGGAGCGAGAAATAATAACGGCGGATTGCTCGAAGTGTTGGACCGGTAGTCGATGTCCTTCTTTGGCAGTTCCGCTGCAAATACGGTGACGCACTTGCTCAAAAAACGTCATAGAGAACAGAAAAATAGGTTGAAAAATATTACCAAAACAGAATATAAAGATATAAACGAAGCACCTGAAGAGAATAATTTCATCTTTTCTGTACTTATAAACACTCCAAATATACAACAAAATGCATTTAAGGGCTAAAAAAGTGGATTTTGCATGATATGTCCCCTTTAAGTCATTTTAGCTTTAGTACACTCAATGGCAATTAAAAGCTACTTATTTTTTTTTTTTTACATTTTGCATTTATAATATAATGCACACTATTTTTCACACACCATGTAAGGATATAGCGTATTTTAGTAAGACACTCCCTCACAGGGGAATTATAATTTTTGGGTATATGGCATACATACAGATCTGTGAGGATGTCCAGGTGTTTGAAGAGATCTCTGGAAGAACTTGCAGGTTGTTGTTGGATATAGACCTGATACAGAGAAATCAGAGTAACATAACATGACCTTTTTATCATGATTCATACCTCTATTCCCCAATCTAATCTATAAGGTACAATGAATGATACGTTCGACTCGTCATATTAGGAGCAGGGTGTGAATTACAACTATTGTCTGAATATTCAAAACTGTGGGGTGGATTATATAAAAGCTTTCTGCTCCAAATTAGTCTGAACCCTTTTGGATTCATAGGTGGAAAGACAATTAGTGTTTTGTCAAGACAAACCTCAGATAACAATAATCCATAGAAATTTATTTAAAAGGTTGGCCAACCTGAAATCCATTGTAGAAGTCACACAATGACGTATAGTCTCTACATATACCAGTACACTACACTACACTATATAATAATAATGTTAAAAAAGGATGATATTTAAAACTGGTCATTTAATTCAGGTTATAATTGTACAGCTTATTTAAGTTTTAGTTTAGTGTTTGTACTTTTTTTTATTTCTGCTTTATCTATTTTTATCAGTTTCAAAATTTAATGATAAAAAGAGAGGATAAATGTCATGTTTTTGTGGAAAATGGATAAAGAAAAGCAATTGTAAATGCCATTTAAAAATGTATAAATTGATTATTTATTGTTAAGCTTGTCTACATTTTTAAACATTAATTAAATAATCACTTCTTAATGCATCTATGCTGTACACCAATTCAAAAGAGTGATTTATTTATAAGTGTATTTATTATTTTTGCATGAATACACTGATAATTGACTCCTCAAAGCAATACATACAGATGTGTCAGAGACTTCAGTCCTCTGAACGTGTGCTTTGACAGGGTTTGGATGTCGTTGTTCTCAATAAATCTGTAAGGAAAGAATATGGGAAATAAATTACCATTAAGACACGAAAATGAATTCAACCAACAACACATTTGTCAGACAGCCACAAAGTGAACTATTTGCAGGTTTAGATACTGTGTGGTATTTGAGAAAGAAAGATAAAAGATCAGGACAGGGATATTAATCAAACGGCAGCTTCTCTCTCCATTTAAACGCACGCTGGCTGTTCCCTGATGGATTGAAGAGTCACGCGTTCAGGAAGACGATGCCCACCTCTCTCGGCAAACCTTGCCGCAATTGCCTTGTTTAAAGCTTTTAGCTTAATGACACTGAGATTGTGGGCGTTTTCATTAATGCTAAAAGCTTTCTGCAATACAAAGTTCTTCCCTCTCTCTCTCTTATCTCATTCACTCTCTTTCTGTAGTCATTGAGCTGCCAGTGCTTTAGTCTGAAAGACAACGCTACCTGAATTTTAAGAAGGAGAAACAGCATAACTTGCATGAATTTGAAATATGCACACACAAACACGCTATATTAGTGAGGACTTTGCATATTCTTCCATTGAGTTTATTAGTTAATGATTTATTTATAATCACAGTTACTGATTTATAAACATGTTTTGAGTTTATTAGCTAATGATTTATATATAATCATTAGTTAATGATTTATAAACATGTTTTGGACGATTTATATGCAATTTTAACTAGCGAGGACCAGTAAAATGTCCTTACTAGTCAATTGGCATAATATTTCAGTGTATAAGTAAGGACATTTGGCCCTCACAAGTAGAGCCAAACTTGTACTCAGACACACACACACACACACGCATGTATCTAAGTGGTGTATACAGTATATATATATATATATATATATATATATATAGGGTTTGTAATTCACAATTACTTTTGAACAGCTGCTATGGAAGAAATGGGCTTTTTGAGCATCTACAAAATGACCTGTAAAGGAAAGTATAGTTTTTATCAGCTTTTTCATTTATAGAAACGACAACAAAATCTTTGGTGCATCGATATGAATTTGGCACATCCTCCAACAGGAGGCATATCTGTTAATTCAGCATTGTGAAAAGCAAAACGCAGAGAAAGAGGTTATCAAATTCTAACTGACAGTGAAGAAAGAGAAACGGATAGAGAGGAAGACTGAAAGAAAACAAGGGGGATTTATCATAATTCAAGAAAACGTTTTATTTCATAGCTTTTTGTGGTTGGGAAAGCTGATGTGCCATTTCTCATATCAGAATCTGTCAGATGTTCATTGTCAATGTCTGTGCAAACGATCCCTCATAATTAAACATTGGCTTTCAAGAAACATTTTGTCAATGTCTGGCTTATAATGAGCAAATCATTTCAAAACCCTGAGAAAGATGCGCTGGAAGATGATCTTAATAAAGAAGAACTGAAAATTAATTTTACTTTAACATTATTATTTTTTTTTAGCTCTTTCTTGCATTTATGTGAGCAAAATCCAGTGAATATATCAGAATAAATCACACTTACAATGCAGCAGAAGATATCCTGAAACATCTAATCTGTGTCCATCTGTTGGACAAGTGATCAATCCACCCACCAGCGAACACATTCATCCATCTTTAGTTAACCATCGATTGGGCCATCCATCTATCCAGCAAACATACTTACAGGTATTGCAGATGTCCAAGTCCAGCAAAAGCATCATCAGAAATCAGAGAGAATGTGTTTGAGTTCAACAGCCTGTGCAGAACGAGAAGAGAGTGACAAAGATGAGAGTTTGCACTTTCACTGAGCTGAAGATCACAAAAACAATTTTGGTCAAGACAACTATAGGAGTATTTGGCATGGTAATGGATATGACAGTGTTGATATATTTGGTCTTGGCAGAATAGATCTACTGCTGGAAGTTATTGCTGCTGCAGAGCAAGTACTGGACTAATACACACACACACACACACACACGACACGCTGCAGTGAGCAAGTAAGACATGTTGCTGCTGTACAATGTAGCCAGGGTTTGAAATCAACTATTCACTCACCAAGCAATTTGGTGAAATATTTTAAACCAGCCAATTTTAAACAAAATATTTTTTCTTAATTTCATACATTAATTTCTTCAAACAAATTCTTATTAAAAACATCCTGTCACTCAGCCATCTCCTCCCTTCCTCTTCCATCCTCATCACTAAAAATGTATTTAAGGTGGACAGATCAATACAATACAGTACAAAGAACATCAAAAAAATTGAGGAAGTTGGAAAAATAACAATGCCTTTTCTGTAAACCAAATGCTTTTTAATATTTGCTATTGCTTCAATGCAAATAAACAAGTGCGCCGTTATTTGTTGCGTAGTGACGGACATGTTCAAGTGAGCCAGATTCTGCGCAATTCGCTCAATTTAATATATCATGATGACACACAAGTTGAGTGTTTGCGTTAAATCTGTGCAGATTTTCCTTACATGAACTTCCTCAGTACCTTAACTGCAGTATAAACATAATAAGTAACACGCCAAATTGGCTCGTGATTTGACAGCGTTACCCGCCACAGTAGATTTTTACCCACATTTGGCGAGTGTTAATTTCAAACCCTAAGTGTAGCGTACATGAATTACCCGTAGCAGATCTATACAGGAAGGTGGAGGGTTTCTGAAAGTGTGCTGCACTGCTAAGGCAAATGCTACCCAAGTATTTGAAGGTTTTGCAAGCAAGCTCATTGGCTGCTGATACAGCAGGAACCAATCAGCTGCGCCCTATAGATAATGATGTGATTGCAAGCACATTGAGTTAAGGACCGATCAACCAGCGCCATCTAGAGTTTCATGACAGTACTTTGTATTTCTCTACATTTTAGGCATTTTTACAGAGCTCAGCACTTGACATATGGACACAACATATATATACAGTCACCTAAAGGATTATTAGGAACACCATACTAATAAAGTGTTTGACTGTAATAAAGCATTCTTTAGAAATCTTGGCCCATATTGATAGGATCGCATCTTGCAGTTGATGGAGATTTGTGGGATGCACATCCAGGGCACGAAGCTCCCGTTCCACCACATCCCAAAGATGCTCTATTGGGTTGAGATCTGGTGACTGTGGGGGCCATTTTAGTACAGTCAACTCATTGTCATGTTCAAGAAACCAATTTGAAATGATTCCAGCTTTGTGACCTGGTGCATTATCCTGCTGGAAGTAGCCATCAGAGGATGGGGACATGGTGGCCATAAAGGGATGGACATGGTCAGAAGCAATGCTCAGGTAGGCCGTGGCATTTAAACAATGCCCAATTGGCACTAAGGGGCCTAAAGTGTCCAAGAAAACATCCCCCACACCATTACACCACCACCACCAGCCTGCACAGTGGGAACAAGGCATGATGGATACATGTTCTCATTCTGTTTACGCCAAATTCTGACTCTAACATCTGAAATCGAGACTCATAAGACCAGGAAACATTTTTCCAGTCTTCAACTGTCCAATTTTGGTGAGCTCTTGCCAATTGTCGCCTCTTTTTCGTATTTGTAGTGGGGGTGAGTGGTACCCGGTGGGGTCTTCAGCTGTTGTAGCCCATCCGCCTCAAGGTTGTGTGTGTTGTGGCTTCACAAATGCTTTGCTGCATACCTCGGTTGTAACGAGTGGTTATTTCAGTCACAGTTGCTCTTCTATCAGCTTGAATCAGTCGGCCCATTCTCCTCTGACCTCTAGCATCAACAAGGCATTTTCGCCCACATCACTGCCGCATACTGGATGTTTTTCCCTTTTCACACCATTCTTTGTAAACCCTAGAAATGGTTGCGCGTGAAAATCCCAGTAACTGAGCAGATTGTGAAATACTCAGACCGGCACCAACAACCATGCAATGCTCAAAATTGCTTAAATCCCATTTCTTTCTCATTCTGACATTCAGTTTGGAGTTCAGGAGATTGTCTTGACCAGGACCACACCCCTAAATGCATTGCATTGACGCAACTGCCATGTGATTGGTTGATTAGATAATTGCATAAATTAGAAATTGAACAGGTGTTCCTAATAATCCACAAATTCAGAATTATTTCTATCATTTTAGTAAATTGAGGCCATGTTGAACTAATTCGTTCCCTCATTTTGATTTAACTAAAAAAAGGGAATTAATTATTACGATGCGGCCACAATTTAGTAAATTTAGACCAACATTTAAAAGCGGCGCTGCCTGAAAGATCACCATGTGAATCGAGTATCACTGTCTGTGGAAATTAAGCCACAATAAATTCCTGTGGCTGTAAGCACATCTTGCTTTATTGGTCTCAAATATCAGCCTGCTTCATGACATCTGGCTACATGAACATTTTTTCAGCAAGGAAAAGAAGGAGATGTACAGATTTGATTGCTGCTGACAGTGGATTCTCTGTCACAAAAATATATTTTTCATATAGAAATACACACCAATAAATTTCACAAGCATTGAATGCGTTTCGTTTGTTTACTGATGCAGTGACTAAAGAACTGGCATGCTGTCATTTGAAAACAAACTTCTCTCTTGTGTCTTTCTCACACACACACACACGTTTTGGTAGGGAGGACAGAAACACTGTTGTTGTGCGAGTCTGTAAATGGAGGGTCTGTCACTGATACACATCACATTACACACTGCTCAGACATGCAGCTGACAAACACTACAATTATCACTCTTTTTTCCCTTTCAAACACGCACAGGCCATAATAAGAAAATGCAGAGGAGGGTTATCTGCATCTAGTACTCACAGAAAATGAAGTAGGTTCATGTGGGAAAAAGCTCCTTCAGGAATCTCCGTGAATGCGGCGTTCACCATAGTCCTGATAAGATAGAAGAAAACATCATCATCATCATCATCATCATCAACACAAATGTAGTTGCTGTTACTGTCATCTTAAAGTAAATGCTCATTAGATCAAAAAAAAAAAGTCTTCATAACATCTGAAAATCTCATTTTAAATGTGTATCATTGGCTCAAATCAAAAGCATCCACCCTCAAGTCTATGTAGTAAGTCCTAAGATATGATTGGCTAGCTACCGCAGTGTATGTTCAGTATTGGGTTGTTTTAGCCTGTTAAATTGCCCTCCAGATGGAACTGCTTGGAAGAGTAACTTATATATAAGTTATAAGCTATTATTCAGGTGCAAAGCACAAGCGGTGTAAGATAAGTACTATAGGGGTGATATAGGGGTTTAAAATGATCATTATGATGAATCATTCAGGGATAGCACCACTTTTTTTCCACATCATTAAAATACAGTAAGAAGTCATTTTAACCTAATTTTGAGGAGTTATGTTTGACTTTTTATTCTTAAACAGTTGCTCCCCACTCCTGAAAGGATCTCACTGTTTAAGTATTAGACACTAGGACACAGATCTTCCTTCCCTTTTATATTCTCAGTCTGAAAATAAGGGCACCATCTGAGTGCCAAACTCAATAATATGCATGAAAACTTGAGAAAATCAAAGGCCTTTATCAAAACTTTCTTCGGAATATAGACATGATTATGATTAAACTCAGTTGAAATCCTGGTAAATGCAAGTCTTTAATAGTATGAAATGAAATACTAGGAATGAAAACTTCAGTTAAATTACTATCATACATAAATACACAAACCGTGAAAATCAATTGATGAAATAAATGGTATCTGTGGTTCTCTCAGAGAGAGTTGACAACAAAACAGACTTCATTACTGACTTCACCTCAGTCTGTTGAAAGCAATAGTTCCCCCCATATGAAACTCTCAGAAGGTATAGTCCATTCGACTCAAGTCTCAAGTCCATTCGACTTTCGAGTTCAAGCCATATGATACGACAGATTTTTGTAGCGAACAGATTGAAATGAAGACATTTTTCATTAATTATTTCCCTTCCCCACCACTAAATGTCATGAGATGAAAATGATCAGTGAATAACAAATATCAGTTTGAAATATATAGGGCAATATAGTCAAATCAACTACTTTACTGGGTTTTTTTGGTCTTTTTGAAGATTTACAGGCTATACAAACTGTCACTAAATAGAAAATATGAATCTATGACTATATGACTGAATTATAATGGCATAAATCTGTAACAATTTACAATACGGTCCCATTAGTTAAAGAAGTAGTTCACTTTAAAAAAAAAATTTTGCTGATAATTTACTCACCCCCATGTCATCCAAGATGTCCATGTCTTTCTTTCTTCAGTCGAAAAGAAATTAAGGTTTTTGATGAAAACATTTCAGGATTTTCTCCATATAATGGACTTCAATGGGGAGCAAACGGTTTAAGGTCCAAATGAGAGTTTCAGCGCAGCTTCAAAGGGCTTTAAACGACACCAGACGATGAATAAGGGTCTTATCTAAGACCCTTCGAGTCATGACTCGAAAAAAGATTTGTTCATTTTGATGAACGAGTTTGAACAGGAGAGTCACGAACGCTCATCACAGAACAGAGCAAGGCGAGCATTTGAGCTTATAAAACGTAAACTTTTTATTTATTTTTGAAATGACCGCTCGTTTCGCTTGATAAGACCCTTATTCATCGCCTGGTGTCGTTTAAAGCCCTTTGAAGCTGCACTGAAACTCTCATTTGGACCTTGAACCGTTTGGTTCCCATTGAAGTCCATTATATGGAGAAAATCCTGGAAAGTTTTCATCAAAATCCTTAATTTCTTTTCAACTGAATAAAGAAAGACATGGACATCTTGGATGACATGGGGGTGAGTAAAAGTGAACTACTCCTTCAATGCATTAACTAATAATAAGCGTGTGTTTGTTACAATATTTGTTAGTCTTTGTTAAGATTAGATCATACAAATAAAGCTGTTCATTCTCAATTCATGTTAGCTATAACTAATGCTAACAAGTGTAATCTTATTGTAAAATGTTACAGCTAAACCTTTATGCCAAAAGGAATGACGTCATAAGTCACTTGACAGGTGACAAAGTTCAACTCAACTGTCTTACCTATAAATCAATTACTCTAGACAATCCATGTTATACCGCAGAGAAAAATGGTAGATGAGTGCAAAAGCAAGCATGGGAAATTATCATATCTTATATGAACAACTGAATATATTCTTTGAATATAATGAAATGAAGGACAGAAGAAATACTGTAGGTAAACTTGATCTTTTCAGTACTCACAGCGAGATGATTCCTGGTGGGAAGCTCTTGGGAATGGCTTTGGTGTCCACGCAGAAGGCACTGTCTTTAGTACAGGAGCAGGTGGCCGGACATCGTGGGATTTTGGAAGCTTTGCGGCCCACCGCGTTCCCAAACGTACAGAAAAGCAGCAGGCAAACAGACAGCCGCCAATCTGGCCATCGTAGAGTCCGCCTGGGCCTTGCTTCCACCATCTTCCACCTTCTCTTCTCCTGCTTGAGTCAAGAAACACAGGAGGCTGGAGAGAGGGATCTGTTTTTTATCCTTTCCTTATTAAGATAACTGCAATAGAAGAAGTTCCAGGGTGTGAACGGGAGAGGATGGGAGATGTTAGGCTCAGAAGAGACTGACAGAGGGAAGAGAAAACGACTGGGCAGTGACTGGTGTTCCCTGAGTGCGTGTATTTGATTGTTTGAGTGTACTCTGCGGTGTTCTCTCTTCTCTCTCTCTCTCTCTGTGGTGCAGCTGTCAGAGCACAGACTGCAGGAGTGTGTCAGCCAGCGCTGCTCCGCACACACTCAGCCTAAGACCAGAGTGCTGCAAAGCTGACACTGAATTATTAACAGTCGCATGGGCCAACACTTAAGCAGCAGCAGGGAACACGGCAGAGAACATAGTGGGAAGGGGAGATTGTGAACCAAGATGAAGAAGCAGGGGGTAATGGACAGGTCAGTGGAGGAGGTAAAACTGAATAATGTAAAATCCTCATGTTTACGCTGAGGCAAATTTCAAGCAAACCTTCTAGAAATCATGGACATATAAGCACTCGCTTTAATGAAAATACACTAGTCTTCAAGACTAGTGGTTCCCAAGCACACAATACAATCTAGGATTTTTTCCTTATCCGAGGCTACGTCCACATTAATCCAGATACATTTAAAAACGGATCTTGTTTTCTTTATGTTTTGGCCTTTCATCCACACTGAGACTGCATTTGTGTCCAGCAAAAACGAGTCTCTCCCAAGTGGATGTATTTGAAAATGCAGTTTTCGTGTTGTGGTGTGAACTGTGAATACGGAGGTATTTGAAAACTATGACGCATGTTAGTTATTCATGTGATGCATTTTGTACCTATAGAAATCTATGGTTAACCTGCCAGATATGGTTATTTATGCACATAGTCTTGTTAAAAATGAATGTTTCTTGTACAATCTTCATTTTACATGACTGAAAATGTACTCACAATTGCTATCTCACAATTTGTATGTGGCAAAAAAAGAAGCAAATTGCATATTGGACGACTAGGTTACCTTGGAGACAATATTTCAGAACGACTGACGAATTGGAATCTCACCTGAGAGAAGCGGGTATGTAAGGAAGCGTGTTTAACTCACTCATTCAAGTTTTGCACTAAGGAGCAAAGATGGTGTACTGGCGGTTCAGTGATGGTACAGCGATTGTGGCGACACGACGTAATGTGTTCAGGGAAAAGGGGTTAGATTAGTGACATTCAGTCAAGTTGGACGTTACGTCAGAATGACTGATTAATTGGGATCCCTACCAAAACGCCATGATAGGGGATTATCACGCTGATACGTAGTACTTCCGGATTCAGTGATCTTTCTGCACTGCCACTTCCGTTGAATCACCGATCTCGCTGACAAACTCATGAAGGACTACACAAAGTTTATTTATACGTCATCCCTGGTAAATTAGTCTGATTCACTAAAGTGCCGGCTGCAAACAAACGCGCTACCTTGTTTTATTTTAAAGTTTTTAATCCACTTCTTCCTTATACTCAATTCAGTCGGGAATCCATGAAAACTTATAGGGTTGGCGTTGTTGGTTCAATTTACAAAGTGGAACAGAGCAGTGACATATATAGCATTCGTCTCAGGCATTGTTGAACTGCGTCGGAAGAGGACATGCAAAAAGTTGACAAATCCCGCCTATGAAACCCGGAAGCATGATAATCCCCTATTGCTGTCCCTTCCAGAATCCTGCGTATGCTAACTAATCTCCCCCAACCCTGCTGTGGTGGAAGAAAGGACAAAGAAAGGACTTACTAGCTACTTGTCGGCAATGCACAGAGATTGTAAACCCTCGCAAATGTGTTAGGTGTCGCCCAGCCCACAGCTCTACAAATACAAGGCCAAGGTGCCATGTGCAAATGCCCAGGAGGAGCCAACACTCCCGAGTGGACTGAGCGCTCACCCCAAGGGGGCACGACTGGTCTTGAGCTTGATAAGCCAAATCTATGGCATCCATAATCCAGTGGGCCAACCTCTGCTTGGAAACAGCCTTTCCCTTCCTCTGGCCTTCATAACAGACAAAGAGCTGCTCTAAAGGTCCTGAAGCTCTGTAAGCGGTCCAAGTACTGGCGCAAGGTGCAACCGGGACAAAGCAGAGCAAGGGCTGAGGCTGCCTCATCTAGGAGCAGCGGTTGCAGGTTCACCATCTGATCCCTGAACGGGGTGGTGGGAACCTTGGGCACATTTCCAGGCCGGGGTCTCAGGATTATGTGAGAGTTGGCAGGGCCAATCTCAATCTCAAACAGTGACAGAATGGAGAAAAAAACAAGGGTGAACCCAGGCTCAGGCCAGTTCTCCTCTGGCCAATGAACGGACATGGTTCATTAAGAAACAGGCTGAAAAGAAAGCACAACTCTGATCGGGCATTTAAGGGTGTCTTCTCAGTGAGAAGAACACCAATCAACGAACAGGCTCCCCTTCAAAGCCTCGAAGGCATAGCTGAAGTGATCGTGTCTACCACTCCTGGAGGTAGATCACTTAAGTCCTCCGTGTCCCATCCAGAAACCACACGTGGAGGTTCCAGAGGTCTGGACGTGGGTTAAAGCTAAAAAAAGCAGGTCCTTCTCAAGGGAATCCGCCAGGGAAGAATCAGTTCTGGGAACCAGGTCCGGGTGGGCCAGTACCGGGCAACCATCAAGACCTGCTCCTTTTCCTCCCTGACAAGCAAGCTCACTGGGAGAAACACACATGCTTGTGTGTGTGCCAGCGCATCCTTGCAGAGGGTGCCCTCAGTCAGGGAATGAAACAACAGACAGTGGGATGTGCTGGAGAGGCAAAAGGTGTGCAGCTCTGAAGCGTTTCCAAATCAGTTGGACCACCTGGGGGTATAGTCTATCGAGGGAGAATCGAGAAATTAAAGTATGCGTCCTACAGGTCGATCGCTGTAAACCAATCTTGGGGTCGAATGCATTTGAAAATTCGTCTTTGCCTTAACATCTTGAAAGGGAGCTTGTGAATGGATCAATGATTGGTCGTAACCCACTGCCTTTCTTGGGTACAGTGAAGTACGGGCTGTAACCCTGACTTCACATCAGCTGGAGGTACTGGCTCTATCGTATCCTTTGCCAATAGGACTGCAATCTCTGCACGCAGTTCAGGAGCATCAATGTCTACCACTGAGGTGAACCTAGGGTGACTAGATGAGATTGGCTAAAATCTCATCGGGACTGGTGTTGGGGGGGTTGGTTCAGTAGGTTTTGGTTCAAACCTGAACCAAAAATATATTTTTATTCAATGATCAACAGTCTGTCATTAGTCTTTAGTCTGCCACAAAAAAAAAAAAAAATTAAAAAAACATTAAAATCATGAACTCAAATGTAATTGTGAAAAAAAAAAAATATGTGCAGGCGAAATCAGACCTTTCAGTGTATAGCCTAACGCTAATAAGCCTTATGCCAAAATTATTATTACAACTAAATTGTCGATCATTAAATAGGAAAACTAAATAATTGTGCAGATGATTTGCTTCAAGTGTAATCCGACATCAGACATTAAGGCCCGGCCGAAGTATAGTTTTGCACACAGTGACACGACCAATCAATCACACCAGACACGAATAGCATGTCAAATTCGCGCCTACCGCGTCTAGTTATATGCGTGAACACTTTGAATCCATCGCGCGTCAGGAGCGAAATTGACACGCATAAAAAACTAAAGTTTAGACTGGCTGCCAGCACATTCACTGTCTTCGCGGCTGCTGCCACTTGAGGGGGCTGGCTGCAGGACGACTCAACTTCCACGGACAGTTTTTAATGTTTTATATCAAGACTTCGCTTTAGTATAATTTTTGGGACAATTAAAGGGATAGTTCACTTTGAAATTAATTTTTGATATGTTTTAGTTTACCTCAAGGGCATCCAAGATGTAGGTGTCTTTGTTTTCATAGTATTTTCAATTTTGACATTTTTCAGTCAAACCGTTGTTGTCTATCAGTCATACACTGGAGGCAAAGGGGGTCCACCTCAAAGAGCATGCACAGAGAAGTCCAAAGTAAACATGATTTAATGACTTGTAAATGTAATTAAACATTGATGGCTTAAGACACGAAACGAGCGGTTTTTGTGAGAAAACGAACAGTATTTATATATCGTTTTTACCTCGTGTAATCCAAGTGATCTGAATCAGTTGTGCAATGTCCAACTGAACTGAACTGAATCAGTTCAATGTTACGCCGGAAGTGATCGCTTTCGTGTGACGTCACTCAATATTTACACTGAGATTTCGGAAGTTTTACCTTTTACTAAACATATTTAGATATACCGAAATCGTCTTCCATTGCGGTTTCCCGTATATCGAAATATGTTTAGTGAAAGGTAAAACTTCCGAAATCTCTGTATAAACAATGAGTGACGTCGGCGCGCAAGCGATCACTTCCAGAGCATGCGCAGACCGAAGCGCCCGTGCCGTCAGATTATTTTGTCATGGCTATGATTACAAGAGGTAAAACGATATAAATACTGTTCGTTTTCTCACACAAACCGCTCGTTTCGTGTCTTAGGCCATCAATGTGTACTTACATGTACGAGTCATTAAATCATGTTTAATTTGGACTTCTCTGTGCATGCTCTTTGAGGTGAAGCGACTGAGGACCCCCTTAGCCTCCAGTGTATGACTGACAGACAAGAACGGTTTGACCAAAAAATGTCAAAATTGAAAATGCTGTGGAAACAAAGACACCTACATGTTGGATCCCCTTGAGGTAAACTAAAACATATCAAAAATTAATTTCAAAGTGAACTATCCCTTTAAGGCCGGTTTCGGGATTCGGGACAACAGCTTAGATTTCGGCACTGTCCCGAATTTTTCGGGACTTCTGGTCACCTTCGGTGAACCTGACGCCGCTGAACCTGGGGTGGCACGGGGCGAAATGAATACTCGCACAGCTGAGTATGACAGTTCCAATGAGCCAGCGAGACGGGCTGGGAAACTCTAGCCAGGCTTCCAGACGCCGTACAAGTGGGGTCAGAGGGACTACTGGTGGAGCACAAGGGCCCGACACAGGAAGGCACAGCGTCCCGGAGTGGGGTCAGAGTGTGTAGTACAACTCTTACCTGGCTCCATGATTTGGCAGGGGGTGCATAGTGCTTCCTCGGACCGCAAACCACTGCTTTCTGGTGGTAGAAGAGGAGGATGAGAGGCATAGTATCATGCACTGCCATCCGCGCTCTCTTAGGACCCAGAGATTGAGGAAACTGCTCTTTTGTTGAAAGCCTCCTCCGGGGGAAGAGCATCCATCCATCCATCCATCCATGTGATAAATTGATTTTGACAGTACTAATATATATATATATGTTGTAAATATTCAACAGCAATGGCTTTTACAGTAAGAGAAGAAAAGAAAAGAGTTGTTTTATATATAAGGACAAGCTGCAGTACTGCAGGAACGCTGAATAAAGCTACTGACCCCATTTCAAAAAGCAACATTGAACAGTTAAGGCTTACATTTCAGATCTGCATTCCAGGCACACCCGGAGAAAATATCAAATCTCATTATGCATTCTAACGTGGTGCGAGCAATTCTAATAGGGATGCTTGACTCAGTATTCAGTGAGGCAATTTCTATTAACACTAATTACAGACTTTCACATACTTTTCATCATTGTCCATTTCAGTATGTATATATATGGGCAAGTTAGACTGTTATAAAGTGACAATCAAAGTGATATTAAATCAAATATGTTTGAGTGATCAAAAGTGTTCAGAGTGCTAATTATGATATGTGAACACAAGGGGGCACTAGAGCATTACCTCAATTCTTGATAGTTGAGGGTTCCTCTGCTGAATGTAGAACTGGCCTCTTTTTCTTTTTTCCCCACCATGTCCTTCTCTCCCAGTCACTCTGTTCTTGGCAGGGTGGCATTGCAGTGGCAGGCACGACTGTCACCAGCTGACACCACACACACCGACTCTATTCAGCTAGCCCACGTCACAGGTACACAAACCAGGCTTTTTTCTGAGTCATGTTCTCACTTCTGAGAAGCCCGGTGTGGAGATACTGTACCAGGGCTGCATTTCCTAAAAGTATTGTAAGCCTAAGTATATTGTAGAAGCATTGCCACCAATGGTCTCTACAAACAACTTAGTTTATGATGCTTTTGAAAAAAAACACAGCCCAGGACAGTAAGGAGAGAGTTGGAATCGAACATGTGTTTTAACCTCCTCTCTTTTTCGCAAAGCGCCGTCAGCAGTTTTCCCACAGGCATAGCATTACCAGCTGTGCTTACTTCTGATTTTATGGCCTTGTTTCGCACTGGCTCTTCGAACAGTATCTATCTATCTATCTATCTATCTATCTATCTATCTATCTATCTATCTATCTATCTATCTATCTATCTGTCTATCTGTCTGTCTGTCTGTCTGTCTGTCTGTCTGTCTGTCTGTCTGTCTGTCTGTATTTGTTCCAAGTAAACTAAATCACTTATCATTTATGCCTGCTTTTTATGTGCTTTGATTATCGTGAGTCATGACTTCCGGTCTTCCGGTAACCTGTAAGGCTTTATGCTGTTTGGAAAGCTATCGACCACCATAATTCACTGCCTCTGCTCATGCAAGTTGAACAGAAAAACAGCGGATAAACATGCTATTGAGTTTATATCCAAAACCCACTTCCCGAGTCGATTCTTTTGCCAGGCTCCGTGACGCATGTTTCCATCGCACATCTGTTGGAATTTCTCTATCTTTAAAGTTTGGCTGAAAGTTTGATTTAATTTTTTTTTTTTTCGGGGTGGGGGGCTCTCTAGGATATGCGCTCTGTGCGGATGCTGTAATGAATCATTTGCTTTTATATTCTGGACAGACCAAATCGACTTAAAAAAGAAAGTGGCAATAATTACTTTAACATGCATCAGAGAAAACTAGTCAAGCCAGACCTAATGTGCCATGAAGAAGAGGCCTTTTACAAGACTACGAGCAGCAGCTCCAATGAGACCATTAGACAACCAGTTTTTGAAAAAATAGTGGCTTACAGTCAAATCAGCTTTATAAATTACATTTTTCGTTGGTAAATTTCAGTACGCTGCATTGAAATTAATTTTGCACTACTCAACTTTGGCATCCTTAGCACAGTTAGTTGAAGTTTTTTTTTGGCTTTTAGTATGAATATGTTAGCCTTACTGTTGTCTATAAGATAGTGTGCTCCAAAACAATGACAAAATTCATATTTAGAAGATATAAGCATTCATGAAAGGTTTTTTTTGAAAATAAAATTCTGATGTCCCCTACTTAATCTAGAATTAAAAATGTTTATTAGCCTAAATGTTCTTTTTACACAGTCGTTTCTTTAATTTAACCCTAATAGGGTATGTCAGTGAAAAGCAAGTCACTTCTTATTTTAGAATTATTAGTGTATTTTAGAACTATTTTAGAAGTATTAATTATTAAAATCATTATTGGGGAATCATATAATCTTACTGTATCTTACTCTAGCCTATAACACTGGACAGTGGGGTCCAGTTTATGCAGCGCGCTCCAGTCAGTTCAATGACACATGAGGATAATGTAAATAGAAATTATTAGAAAAAATAATGTTTTTTAAAGATTTATGTGCAGTAACGTTTGGCCAAGTGATACTAGTGTTATTACTGACACATTATAATGACTTTCGAGAGAAAATGACATCGTCTAGATAATGAGTTAGCTTAAATTGAAGTTAGCTAACCATTTAGCAAGCCTAATTTCACAAGTTTTTTTTTATTTTTTGGCTGATAACGAGGAAACCATGGTCGGGATTTAATTAGTTGCCCTAACATGTAAATCATGCGAGTCTAATGACAAAAAGAGGCATATAACATGTATTCAAAACGTGATACTTATGAGCCTCGTAACTTACCTGGACGGTGGTTTGAGCGCAATGAGAAATCACTGAAGAAAAAAATCACCCAATCACAAAGCAGACTAGCTCTGTCTCCACAGCAACGGATGCTGAGGTTCATGGGTAATGCTGGCGTTAACTAATTAAATTACATTAAATTAAATTCATTAATTTTATTTGAATTTAATTAATATCCAAAACAAATCCCCATTCTCACAATCGAAGGAGAAACAATTTAAAGGTTATATCAGTCGATAAGGCTCATGGGTTACCGACTACCGTTTTTGTCCAGTCATAAAAAAGGTTGAACAAATTGCAACAGAAGCAAATGTTACCCCCTCCCCCCTACTTTACAATCAAACTTTTATAAGAGTGTCATTTTAATTACCTTTTAATTATGTTGACATGATGCCAGTGAATTGCAGAACTGGTGCAAACAGATCCACATTGCTACTTTGTATATATTTTTTTCCTACTATGGAAGTCAGTGGGTGCCAGATTTGGAACAACTTGAGGGTAAGCGATGACAAAATTTAAATTTTTGGGTGAAATATCCCTTTAAGGCAAAAAAAAAACAAACAAAAAAAAAAAAAAAAAAAAAAACAAGAATCTTAATACCATACTGAAAAGAAAAAAAAATGTAAACTTCCTAATAATATAGGATAGGCTATATCTTTTTTTTTTTTTTTTTTTTTTTCGGTTTTCAATACTTGTTGCCTCAAAGGGATATTTCACCCAAAATTAAAATTAAAATTATTATATGTACTAGATTCTGTTAAACCACATCGGCTAAAAGGAGTAGAGAGGAAGAGAGAAGATTTCTGTACTGATTTATATATTTCATTGACACTAGGTTCAGCCCTACAGTCTTCCCGAGGAAGATTTGTGTCCCACTTTGAAACTAAACAATAGGAGTGCTGTCATGCAATTTAATCTAAGCCCAATTCAATTACAGAGGATACAAAGACATACGCTTCAAGCTTCTGTGATATGATTAGAGAGATTGAGATAGACATCAGTCGACTGAGTCATTTCTCCCTTCATTACACAAAACATGAGGCCCACGTTCAAATAACCTATCAAGGCTGATCTCATTCAGTCTGCTAGCTATCTTATGATTGAAGTAAAAGATGAAGTACGGAGACTGCAAATTATTAATAATAATGTGAGTGAATATTTTGTGCAATGCCAAGTAGGCCTATATAGCAGTTCAATGATACTGCCAAAATCTGTTTTTCAATTTCCAGAGAGAAGTTTAAACTTTAAAAGTCCCCCTGTGGTGAAAATCAAGCTTTCAATGTTGTTTATATGTCAATGTGGTGTTTTTAATGTGCAAATTCATAAAGTCAAACGCCATTGCTGAGTATTTTCTCCTTAAAACTGCAGTGAACCAAAGAGCGGTTTGAAATCGCTGTGTTTCGTATGTCACGACGGACTACCTTGTAACCAATCATGTGGGCATTAGCATATCAATAACAGCGAACTAGCATTTGCCAGGTTTTTCTGGGAAATGTTTTTGTTGGTATGAAAAATGGGGTATATTTAGCAATATTGCGGGTGTATGATTGTAACGGAGGCCAGCTAGTAGTTACTGTGTAAAATACGAAGTTATGATGAACTATGTGCCTTTCTCCACTTGTTTTTTGTGCTTCTGGTGATTGTTAGAAGGCAGACTGAGATGGGTTTGTGTAACATTAGCGCCATCACATTATTAGCTTTATGATAACATCAAGCAAAAGGCTAATCATATTAATTACCGCTATATGTCCGATGTTGTAAAGTGTGATATTGTGCATTTACCTCAGTTGGCCGAGTGAATCAGGCGGGGCTAATTAGCATATTCATTGGTACGTGTATAAATGAGTCCAGGGTGTGTAGTTACATTCTGGGTCACAGAAAAAAATACTGTTAAATATGTGATCAAAGATTAGTTTAAGGGATAAAATGATTGACTACAGGGGGACTTAAAAAAGAAATGAGAAACTGACAATAGACAAAAAAAAATCTCACTGCCACATCATCATGGTTGAGACATTATTAATATATTTAAGATTCAGAAATTCTAAATATAGAATAAGCCTTAAGCCAGACATTTCTAAATGTAAAAAGATATAGTGATTTTCTCTCCCAGGTATCGTTGTGTGTCTGTTCAGACAAGACAAATATGTTTAGCCAAAGGGATAATGCTGTATAACAAGCTGACAGGCCAAGATTATTTATCGCCGCCCAATGCATGCGAGTATTACCACCACCGACCTGTTGAGGAAATCCCATCCAGTGTGAGTAGGGCAGCGCACAGCCTCAGGGGAACAGGTGCATTATGGGGGAAGATATCAATTACTTTATTCATATTTTTTCCCAAAAGTACAGTAATTTCCAAATAAATGATAAACGGAACAAATACATGAAATCTTCTGATAAGTCCAAAATCACATAAACAATACGGCTACAATTATTCTTGTAAAGGGGACTTAAAAGACACTTAGTTATTTGATATTGCAAAGGGATCATTGCAAAATTGTCTAGAGAATGATTCACCAATATTAACATTAATTAACATTTCCACTATGATTGTCCAAGAAAAAGAGATTGGCTAATAAAGTGAGATTAAATGCATAAAGTGCATTTGTGTAATTTAACATTTAATCATTGCAGGTTTGCATTTCACTATTTATATTCATTTTGAGGAGTACTGTCTCTATTTTTGTGCAAGTGAGATGAGTAAATGCCTGCTCAAATTTAGTCTAGAACTACAATAAGCATCATGTTCACTCACACACATATACACAACGCCACCTGCTCTTACTCTCGATTTCTCTCCACACGAGGACAGGAGAGTCAGTCAATAAATGAGAAAACAAAGTAACTTGAGTTATTTATTTGAAAATGCAACTCAGATATTTGTTGTAAATTAAAGGTATTTCACTACTTTAGTCACTTGAAAAAAGTAATCGGAT